TATTATTATTATTATTATTATTATTATTATTATTATTATTATTATTATTATTATTATCTACAATATCACTTTATTAAATTAGTTCTATAATATTTGTATTAGAACAAACTATATTAGACTATTTCTATGTGAAAATATTACTATTTTCCATAATACTTTGGTATAATATACCATTTTTATTATCATTTTTAATTATATTGAAATAATCTTATTAATTTTAATCACTTTTTAATAATATCACCGAATCGTTTATTTAATTTAAATCATTTGTATCCATATTTTGGATATTTTGGGTCAATTTATTTAATTATTCTTCATATTCTATATTTTCTATGGAAAATGGCTGAGTGGTGAAATTTTATTAGTTTTGGTTTTTTTTTTGGAAATATGGAGTTTATTTTTTGTCTGGAAAATCTTCTTAATGTTTTTATTCAGAAAATTTTAGTGGGGAATTTTTATTGTATTAGTTTTTTCTATATAAAGGAGATAATTATTAAAAATTTTTTTAAATTTAAAAATTGTTAGAAAATGAGAACCGAATGGATGTTTCGTCTTCTTCTTTTGTTTAACTTATCTTATATTCACTTATATTTTATGGAATGTATATATTTTGTTAACTACAGAGGGTTTATTATGAACATTAAGTTAGATTAGATGTACTTTTTTGTAGTTTACTCATTAAATTTTCTAAATTTGATACTATATTTTCCTTTAAGTCATCTATAATCCTTTATATATGAATTGTTTTGGATGATTAGGGGGTATTGGATTTTAGTAAAGAAGGATTTCTCTCTATTAGTGATGATTAAGTGTTTAGAAATGAAGAAGTGGGCTTAGATAAATAGTTAGAAAGGATAATATCAAGTTTTAAAGAAGAGTTTTCACTATTTTCAAAATAATTAGATTTTTAAAATGTACTTTTAGAACGCGTTTTTTCTTCAGTTTTTGAATTTATTTTATATATATTGTTAATTATATATTACGAATAACTTGGATTTGTAGTATTTAAAGTATCTTGACTTGATGCATTAATTAAAGGATTAGTACTATATTTAAAAATATGTTATTATTTTTATAATTATTATCTATATTGTTATTATTATTATTATTATTATTATTATTATTATTACTATTATTATTAATTTTATTATTATAAATTTTATTATTATTATAATTATTACTATTATTGTTGACTTTTATTACATTTATTTTAATTTTATTATAAGTTTGTGCTTTGTTTTTATATATTATTATTTTATTTATTCATTTTATTATTTGATTTTTAATTGATTTGAAATGTTTAATGATTTATGTATTATGTTACGTTCAAATTTTATAAGACTTGAGGTGCTTATTGATATTCTTTTTTATATTTTTTTTTTATTTAATTTAATATAAAAGTTTTTGTTTGTTTTTATAAAATATGTATTAAATATTTGTTTGATTTTACCATAAATTTAATTTTAATTCTTTTTATAGATGTAATTGTTTTCTTTGCTTTCATAATTTTAATAATTGATTTTATTCATATATACAATTGGTTTATATTTTTTGTTTTATTTATAAGTAAGTTTTTTTTATAATTTTTTTTTTTTTCTTTTATTTTTTTTTTCTTTTTCTTATTATTTTTTTATTTTATTTTTTTGAAAAAATTATAAATATATTTTATAAATATGAATATATTATAAATAATATATATATATATATATATATATAATAATAATAAATAATTTAAAGTATTTAAAATAAAAATTATATTAATAATATCTCTCTTTTATTTTTTTTTGTTTTAATTATTATTTTTAAATAATAATATTGGCTTTTTATTATTTTTATTTTTAATAATATATAAATTTAAAATAATATCAAAAGCATATTAACGTTTTATTAATAACATATATTTATTAAATATTAAATCTGAATAATTTAACATTATAATATATTTATAATTTAATATTTCATATATTATAATAATATATATTTGTATATATATATATATTTTAATAATTATTTAAATTAATAATAATAAACAGATAATTTGTTATTTATTTATTTTTATAATATTTATATATATATACATATTTGTAAAAATTAATTTATATATAATCCTTAAATTTATTTAAAAAATTAATATTTTATACACAATAAATATATATATAAAAAATTATCAAAAAATCATATCATAAATATTTAATTAAAATTTATTATCTCCAGTATATATTTTATAATTAACCTAATCAACCTAAATACAATTAATTATCTAATTACACTCTAAAATCTATTAAAAAAGTAAAATCTATGGATCAAAATACCCTACTCCACCCTCAAAAGCATATACAAACAGATTAAAATCTTAAATAAAATCAACACAATATACTTAAAGTGCATTCTAAGTTTCAAAAACAGGTATATCAGCTTTCCTTATATCAAAAAGTTAAAATCCTTAGTCTTTTGAACCAAGGAAAAGGTTAAAAAGTGACTATTAAAAGCATGTAAAATGTCCTTTATTTGAATTTTTAATATTTAGGGATGATTAATATGAATTCAAGTCAATTTAAGAAAAGTTTTTTTTTTGTAAATTAGAAAGTAGATTTTCTTTAAAATTAATGCTTAAAATAAAGTTTTTGAAGTTTATTTATTTTTGTTTTTATAAATTTTTATTTATGTCAAAAAATTTGACAAAGCCGTCAGAACTACAGGTAATTATTTGTTTTTCAGACATTTTTATATCGTTAATTGGCTCATTGTGTCCTTATGTAAATTATTTTAGCTCATATTAGTACTCTTTAGGGTCTTCCTTATATATTTTGATTAAACCATCCTATCCACCAGTTGCTATTGTGTGTGTTTTAGGGCAAAAGTCTAGTGCTTTGAATGGTTTTTTATTACGAAGTTTCTGTTAGAGTGTATATTAGGATGAATATATAGGTTTAGAGTAGAAATTTAGGAAATAATCGGCAGATATGGAGAATAAAAGGTCTTCTGTGTGTTTTATTTGAGTTATTTTGTGTGTATGTTATTGTATTTATTATTAAAGCTAAAGAGATTTTGGGTTTTTGGATTTTTTAAAGGAATATATTTGTTTAGAATTGAAGTTTTTTTTGAAGATTTCTTGGCTTTCATTATTTTCCTCATATATTTTGATTTTTGAATTTTTTTCGGTTTTTTATTATTATTATTATTGTAAAATAAATGCCTAGGAGTTTTTTAAAGAAGGCTTATTTGATTAAATTAAAGAATCAAGGAAAATCTACTCATCTAGTGTATTTTTATAATGTGATAAATTCGAAATTAATAGAGAATAATTCGCAGAACATGAATTTAATTCTGATTTTTTACGAAAATCTCTTAAAAGAAGGCTTTTTTAGGATTAAATTGGCTTTTTTTATGTATTTTTAGAATCAAGGAGACTAATTTAATTGGTATTTGCCTTTTTAGGATATTGTTTATAGTATTATTAGAGGTCTTTTTAGGTGGAGTTTTTAAAAGGTTTTTTATATTGGATATCTTCTGTTGTAGTCTATATGGATTTTTTAGGAAAGTTTTCAGATGAATTATTTACTTAAAGGACTTTTTTTTTTGTTTGGGAAGTTTCTAGTATATAAAGTTGGAGAGATTTTTATTATTAAATTTATTATTTTTATTATTAAATTTATTATTTTTATAATTAAATTTATTATTATTATTATTAAATTTATTATTATGATTATTTGTTTATTTAAGATTTTAATGTGTTTTTTCGGGATTCTAATTTAAAGTCAATTGAAGAGTAATTTCGAGTAGTTTTAAGTTCTTTGCGTTATTTAATTACATTTATTAAGGCTTTTTGTTTTTGGATTCTATCTGTTATAAATGGATACATGATTGGTTATTATTATTATTATTATTATTATTATTATTATTATTATTATTATTATTATTATTATAATACATTTTCTTTTTTTACGTTAAATTTTATGTTTAATTCAGGTTGTTATGTAGTAATTTTTTATTATTTATTTGTTTTTTATGGTTTTTCGGATGATTGTAAATTATTTACAATTTTTTACAGTTCTTTTGCTAGGTTTTCTAGGTTTATGTTCGGATCGAAGTTTTATTATTATTATTATTCGTATTATTATTAATTATGGAATAATTTTTGTTATATTAATTATGTTATAGTAGTTTTTTTTTATGTAAATAAATTGTTTTAAGAATTTTTTTTTGAATGAGTACTTATGCGTAGTGCGCTAATGTTGTTTTTATTGTTATTGTTGGTGTTGTTTGGGCTTTGCTTTTCATGTTCTTTTATTTGGGTTTGTAAGTACTTTTCTTATATGGGCTTTTAATAAGATATTGAATTTGTACGATTTTGTGTTCCTGTTGTGAGTAGTTTTTGTATCATTATTTTTTTTTTTTTTTTTTTTTAATTTTTTTTTAAAAAAAAAACAAATAAAAAATATAATTTTTTTTTACTATTTTTTGTGTTTTGATTTTTTTTAAAAATAATATAAATAAATATTAATATTGATGTATTTTTATATATAATGATACTTCCTTTCTTTTATTTTTTTTTAAAAAAAATAAAATATATAGAATGATTAATATTGCATTTAATATTTAGTTTTTTTATTTTATTTTTTTAAAAAATGTTCAAATATTTTATTATTTAATTAAAAAAAAATACATATATACGTATATATATCTGTAAAATTTGAATAATTTAAAATAAAATATCTTTATATTTATTTGTTTTTTTGTTTTTTTTTTTAAAAAAGAAATTATCAACAAAATAAAAATGCAATAAATAAAACATTTAATTTTATTAATATTGATCTTAAATTAAATAAATTGTTTATATTTTTTTTTAACAGAAAGTGAAGAAAAATGTTTCTAAGATGATTTTCCTGAAGAAATAGTAAAACAAAATTATATATAAGATAATATATATATATAAATATATAGTTTGTTTTTGGATAAGCAAAATTAATTGATTAATTGCCTGGAGTAGATAAAGATTCTTTATTAGATGGTGTTAATATAACAGTATTAGATCCTAATAATGAAGTAGTTATTTAAAAATTAGTTACTTTTGGTAATACGAAATTTTCTTTTACATCTTAAATAGGTAGGCATATTATATTATTATTTAAAATAAAATATAAAAAAGGTGGTAATTATAAAATTTGCTTATTAACTACAACAAGTCATTGGGTCAAATAAAATTAATAAATTCGTTTTAGTTTGAGAATAATAGTAGGAGAATAAGAAAATGTAAATTAAAATAAATATATTAATGTTAAAAATATATTTATATAATGAATAAATATAAATATATATATAAATATATATTTAAATATATATATATAAATATATATTTATTTTTATATATTTATTATATTTTATAATTAAAGGATATTAAAAATGCTGCTAGTGAAAAACATATTAATGAAATTCAAGAAAAACTTTAATTAATAAAAAATCATACATCAGATTATGCAGATTATAATTTCTTGAATTATTCTATAGAAGATTAATTAACATAAGCAAATTTTAAAATTAATAAAAGAGTAGTTTTTTTTACTATTTTTGAAACTTGCTTAATATTTTTTAGTGCATTGTATTAGATTTTTTCTTTAAAGAAATTTATTGAAAAGCGAAATTAAATGTGAATGAATTTTTTTTTTTAAAAAAAAAAAAACACATTATAAATATATACTATTATATATTATTTTGTTTTTTTTAAAAATAATAATCAATTATCAGTCCATTAATGTTTGCAATTATAACATCTCATAAATCTATGAGGAGGTTCATCAGAGGATCTAATTTAAACTTCTCTATAACACATAGACTTATGTTCTCCGCATTTAATGCATTCTTCGTTTGCTCCTTAAGCCATTACTGAGTCTGTTTAAAAAGTTTCAGCTTAATCTATTTAATCTTTTACTTTTTTTTTTCATGTAATCTATCTTCTTCTGATTAAAATAATTTAGATTAACATTAAGCTATTAGGTGATAATCGGCTTTTTAGTTGACTATTTAGTCTATTATGTGTAAAGATTTCGATTTTACTTGGAAATTTTTGATTAAAAACTTGATATCTTCTTTATATTAATTAGGTGATTTTTCTCTATATATTATTTCCTCGAGTTCTTACATTCCGTTAAGCAAAAGTTCTTTGTTTACGCAATAATTTTTAGATAAATCTTTAGTTATGGCGTTATATAGAAATTAAATTGCCTTATTCCTTGTTATGTTATTATATTCTGGAAATTATACTTCGAAATTACCAATTTACTATTTTTCTGTGTTTTTTTATATATTTTATTATTAAAAAGGCTTTTATTACTAAATAAATAATTTCTTCCAATCAGATAATAATTTAGTAGCTAATTTACATACTTATTAATGTGAATCTTCCTAATATATAAGTAGCTTTTTAGAAAGAGTTTTGATAGTTTTAGTTATTTCAGTTTTGGTTAAAAGATCTTTTGTTATAGAAGATCGTTCGAGAATTTAAAGGATTTTTAAACATTTATGAGGACCTTCGGATTTATATTATTAGAGAACTTTTCGCATATCAAGAATTTCATCTTCGGATAGAATTAATGATGACATATTTTTTTGTATTTATATTTGGGTTTATTATATGGAAAATTTTTTTTGTATTTATATTTGGGTTTATTATATGGAAAATTAAATTTAATTTAGATAATTATATTATATATAAATATATTAATTTATATATATATATTTATTTAAAAATATTTTTTTTTTTTTTTTTCCTTCTCATAAAAAACTCCAGTTTTCAACATTATTAATTTAAAAATTTTAAAAATCGCAATCTAAATCTTCATTAATTTTTTTTTTTTTAACTAAAAATCCGTTTTCAAAAACAAATAAAGGCGGTTAATATTTTTTCTAAAAAACTTTTTCCCAGTCTAAATCTTCAAAAGCTTTCATTTTTTTAAGGCTTTAAATACAAATTCGTTTTTTATAATCTTTTTCTAAACAACCTTATAATACCTCTTTTATTTCCTCACTCAAAAATTCCGGTAAAGTGAATTGTTTATACAATATCTGTTCATATATATCATACAAATTTCCATTTTCGTTAAATATATGCGGCTTCCCACACAGCATTTCATACAAAACGCACCCTATACCATATACATCAGATGCCCTAAAAGCCCCTTTACCCAAAACTAGTTCAGGAGCAATATAAGCAGGAGACCCACATAAAGTTAAAGCCGATTAACTTTCTTTTACATTCATTTTTGAGAGTCCGAAGTCTGCAAGTTTTATATGCCCATCCCCAAAAATGAGTATATTTTATGGTTTAAGATCCCTATATAGAATATTATTCATATGTAAAAAATCTATGGCTAGAATTAATTCGGAGATGAAAAAAAGTGCTGCTTTTTGTGAAAAAAATGACTATTTTTGGATTTATTAAAAGAGATTTCCACCCGAACAATATTCTAGAAGAATATACAGATTTGTGGGCGTTTAGAAAGATTAGTGTATTTGTAAAATAAAAGGATTTTTTTATTTAAGGCTTTTTATGAGTATATTTTTCTCTATAAAGGCGTATTTTAAAGCATTTTTTATTATTAAGTTAATTTTTCGAATCGATTTTAAAGCAAAAAGCTTGTTTTCGTCATTTTTTTACACTAAAAAAACTCTAGAAAAAGTCCCTTTACCTAATAAGCCTACTATTTGGAATTGTTGGAGGCATTTATGAATTTTTTGTTTATATTAAAATGAACTTTTGGTACTTTTTTAAGTGCATTTTTTACAAAAAAGATGTGTTTCTCTCTCAGGGGATGTTAGTTGATAATTACGTAATTTTTAGTCGATAAAATAGGCATATTAGAGGCTTTTATTAATCTTATTTATCCATTTTTCAGCTTTTTCTTACTCTTTGAAACCGAAGATGAAGGTTTAGTCTTCTGTAGTTAGACGAACGTAGTAAAATTAAGCAGGCATAGGCCATTTAGAGGTTATTATTTATATATTTTTAAATTATGTAAGTAATATTATGGCTGTTTTTTGCGTTTTTATTGTTGTTTTTTATAAAACTAAGTTCTGAGTATTTATTTAAAGGAGAATTTCGTAAAATAAAAAAGAAAAAATTTAATGGAGTTCTATAACTTCTTCTTCTATAAGATTTTCTTATAATTATAAGGGAGATTTACATTTCTAAGTTTAATATAAAAAAAAAGATATTTTTTAATTTTTTGTCTAAAAAAAGTCTTATATTTCCTTAGTACTTACTTAATACGGAGTTTTTTTTTCTATAGGATGTTATAAACTAAAAAAAAAGAAAAAATAATACAATATTTAAATAAATAAATGTAAATATTACTTTTTAACAATTTTTTTTTATTGTAGAATTATATGTTTTCATAATTTAATATAAAAACATATAGATAACACAAAAAGGTAATAAAATTAATTTTTCATAATTTTTATTAAAAAAATTTTAATTATAAATAAATTAAAAAAAATTAAAAGAAAATTGTTAAAATAATATATATATATATATATATATATATATATATATATATATATATATTAATGTTAATTTTTTTTTTTTTTTATTTATTTATATATATAATTTACTTTATATCTGCCCCCTTTTATACTAAAATTTTAACTATATCTAAATAGCCTTTAGCGCAAGCTAAATGTAAAGGAGATCCAATTTCTGTTTATTTATTTATTTATATATCGTTATTTTCTGTTAATGTTTTTATGATTTCCAAATTTTAAGTAAAAATTGCTAAATGTAGAGGTAGCCAACCATTCGCTGTAGGATTATTGATATTCGGTTAGTATTTTTGTAAAACAAATTCAAGTATTTCTTCGTTTTGGAAATAAATACAATAATGTAAGGTATTCCAACCTTTGTAATCTAAATCATTTATTATATCGTATAAAGGTTGTGGATATGGTGTATTTTTTAACTGTTTTTAGTGTTCTTCGTATTATTTTTGAGCTTCGGTAAGATTCTTAGACTTAATTTGGATTAAGAAATTTTTTTAGATTTATTAAAAAGTTGTTTTCGAGTATTATTAAATTTATAAAGGTAAAATATTTTAGAAAGAATATTTATAAGAACGATATAAATTTAAATTATTTTGACAATTTGAATGATGCTTTTTTTTTTTTTTTTTTTTTCGAGATTTTTTTTATAATTTACTTTTTATTTTAAACTTATATTGTGAATTTTTATTATTTTTTCAGTTTTTAATTAGTAAAAATTCAAAGGAAATCCTTCAATTATTTTGACCTTTTTTTTTTTTTTTTCTTAGTAATAAAAAAAATAATAAAAATAATATTTATTTCTTTTTTTCTTTTTTTTACGGTATGTAATAATAATTATTATATACATTTATTCCCTCAATTTCTGAACATAAAGATATGTTATGAATCGGAATCTCTGTTTTTTAAAATATTAATTCCTTTAATTATAAAATATCTTCATTTTCATTTAGTTCAAATTTGAGGATATCTTCGTGATCACATAAACGTGCATTTATTTAAATAAACATTTAAATATATTATATTTTTTTTAATTTTTTTCTATTTTATTTTTTTATTTATTATTAAATAAATATATATTGAAATATTTTTGATTAAATTTTTTTTTATTATTATTAAATTTAAAAAGAAGATATTTATATATATTTATATGTTTTTGAATGTATTTTTTATTTTTAAAATAATAGTAAAAATTTCATTATTTTTGATTTCTATTATTTTTTTAAACTAAGTTATTATTTTATCCTTAAATATTATTATTTTAGCCATTAGTAATATTAAATGCAATTTATTATTATTACTAAATATTACTTTAAGATTAACTACCAATAATATTATTAGCTGCACTAATAACAAAAGTATTAACTTTTGGTAATTTCGTCCCGTTTTTATCTTTGTTTTATTATTATTAAAGAACTTAATTTTATTTCAAATTACTACCGATATTAGTCGCACTATTAGCATTAAATGTGGTTCTAAAAATATGATTATTGATATTACTTTATACATTATTTTAATTTGGAATTGTTTTTTCAGTATTTTTATTATTCGAATAAATAATGGTCTATTTAAGGGCAAAAGTCATCACTGTTCTACCGACTTAAATGGCTATTTTTTCCTATAAAATAGGGTAGTTTTTTTCAAGTTTTATTAGAGTACCGAATTTAGAATTATTATCAAATATTAAAAATTAGTCTGATTCATATTTTATATATGAATGGAATCGACTTACTGATATATCAGTTATTCTTATATCACATGTATGCCCTCTTCCCTATTTTTATTTTAATTTTTTATATTAAAATTTTTTTTGTTTTTTTTTGTTTTTAACTAATTTCACAGAATCATCATCAGGAGTTTTACGAAGAATATGTAATCCTTTAGAAACACGCTTTTCTCTAGAAATAGATTCCATTATTAAATAAGGTTAATCACTTTATTCTGGTCTTTCAATATCTATAAGATTCATATTTATATTATTTATATATACAGATTTCGGTAAAGGTAATTTGCAAACTTCACATTCTAAATTTCTTTATGTATTTATATATATATATAATATATATATATATATATATATATATATATAAAATATATAAATATATTTTTACTTCCATTTATATGATGTTATATTAGGTAAAACTTTTTTATGGACTTTACTCTCTATCCATAATTTAATACATGAAACATGCATATATTCACATGATCCTTTACAACTACAGGGATTTATAAATGGGTTTTCTTCAGATTATTCTTCTTCTGATAAACATATTCTACATGTACGAATTTCTCGTTTTTAGAAATTTATAATATAATTATATTTGGAAGGCTATATTAATTTATTTTTATAATTTAAATATTTTTTATAAATTACATCACAAAATATGTCTTTTGCTAATTAAATTTAATTATTGTTTATTTTTTTTTCTATTACACAATATTCTATTCTGCCTAGTTTTATTAGGTCATTTATTTATAAAGAATATCCCTTTTTTTTATTTATTTATATCTATTTATTTTATATACTTTTTGTATTGTTTATTGCTTCTTTAACGAACGAACTATCAAAAATGTTTCATTAAATTTATTTTCGTTTTAGGTTTATTATTTTTTTGGATTTTTAAATGGAGATAAACCTTATTCACTGCTATCACTTGTGTTATTTGTATCTATTTGATTATTTTAAGTATTTTTTGCTGGGTTTATATAAAATGACTCTTTTTTTTGTTTTATAATAAATTTTATGAATTAATATATGTCTATTATTTTTACATAAAATAAAGTCTTTTTAAATTATATTTGTTAAAATTTATCCTTATTATTCATCTATTTTTATATTTTAGTCGACAACTTTTATTTCTTAATTTTCTTTATTTTATTTTTTATTTTTTTTAATAATAATAATAAAATTTAATATTTTTGAAATAAAAAAATAACTTAAACGCATTATAGAACATGTAGTATCTAATCTATATTTAGTTATATCCACACTTTTACTTTCATAGTCAAATAATCCATGAGAATCTTTTGACCAAGTAACACATTTTAATTCAACTCTTTTTTTTTTTATAAAAAATTAATATTTTTTTTTTTAATAAAAAAAATACTCGAATTTCTCTTGTGCTTATTATTATTATTAAAAAGGCTTTTATTTATAACTTATTATGTTTTAAGACATTTGTTTTTGCTTTTTTATATTTTATTTTTAAGTTCGAATTTTTTTTTTTTTTTGTAAAAGTTAATATTTTTTCTTTTTTTTTTAAAAAAAACTAAATAAATAAATTATTTAAATAAAATTAATAAATAAAAATAATCTGTTAAAATAAACAAATTAAAATATTGGAAATAGGTAAATATGTAAATTTAAACAAAACGCATTAATATGTAAATATGCTTAAAATATTAGTTTTATTATCTTATTTTTTTATTATTTTTTATTTATTAATTATAAAAACCTTATAAAAAAATAACAAAGATAAAATATAGAGAAAGTTATAAAAAGATATATTAAATAAAATTATAAAAGCATTATTTTAAAAAAATCTTATATAAAAGTAAATAATTAATAATTCAATATTAAAATTTATATAATTTGAGGCTAATTATAAATAAATAATAAATAATGAAAAATTATAGAAATAAATAATATATATATATATATATTATAAAAAAAATACTGAATTAATTTTTCTTTATTAATAATATAAAAAGAATAAAATTATTCTTATTTATTTTTCATTTTATTTTTTATTTTTATAAAACATTTATAATTCTTAGTTTCAAAGCATTTAATTTTTCAAAAAGATTATTTTATTAAAATTCTTATTCTTATTTTTATTTTTATTCTTATTCTTATTCTTATTCTTATTCTTATTCTTATTCTTATTCTTATTCTTATTCTTAATCTTAATCTTAATCTTATTCTTATTCTTATTCATTATTATTTTTTTAAATATTATTTTAATTAGTTATTATTTATTTAGTTTATGGTTTTATAATTATTTTTTTTTTTTGCCCTTATTTATTAAAACCTTCTATTTATATAATTTTATTTGCATAATTATTAAATTATTATTATTCTTTATAATGAAGTTCTTTAAGAGGGGAAATATAAAAAGTTTTAAATTTTTTGAAGGTTTATTTTCCGTTAAAAAATTAATTTTTGGATTCTTATGTATGAGTGCGCTTTTTTTATAAAATTTAATTAGTTATTTTCTTTTATTAACTATAAAAATTGGGAATGTTATTTATTTTATTGTGAGCATTATTGTTTGCAAAAAAAAAATTTTAATTGGAAAATTTTTTAAAATTTAAATTTATTGGACTATAAATATTTCTTTATGATTAAACTGGAGTTTTTTAAAGAGGAAAATTAATGTTTTTATCTAAACTAAAATTAATATTTGTATAAATTTATATTCCTTTTTTTTTTTCATTTTATTTTATCATTTATGATCTGTTTTTTATTTATAAATATATATATATATATATATATATATATATATATATATATATATATATTATCATTTACATTTATATATTTATATATATATTTATAATATTTTTACATTAAAAAATATAAATATTTTTTTTTTTTTAACATTTATTTAATGTTGTGGTTATAAATTTTTTTAATTTTTATTAAATATTTTTTTTATTAATGCTATTTTTAAATAATATAATATATTTAAAATTTAAATATTACATCTTTTTTTATATATTTTTAATTATTTATATATTAGTAGGTTTAAGTATATTATTTATTTATTAATGTTTTTTTATAATTTTTTATATAAATTTTTTTAAATATTTACTTAATAAATTTTATTGATTTTTATAAATATTAAAAAATTATTTTGTTTATTTTAACATAAAAACACATATTAATTATATTTTTTTTATATTAAAATATTTACATATTTTATCTTTGTTAATTTATTAATAATTTTTTAATGATTACTTTATTAACATTTTATACATCATTAACATAATTATTTAATTTTTAATTTTTAATTTTTATTTTTTTTTTTGAATAAAAATACATAATTTAATTATTTTTTATTTTTTTTTAAAAAAAAATTTTTATAATTAAACAATCTTAAAAGTTAATTTTTTATAAAATTTTAGCTTTAGATTTTTTATTAAGCCTTTATATTTTTTATTTGAAATTTATTTTATAAAATAAAAAATCTTAACTTATAATTATAATTCAATTTATTATATATAAGTAATTGTGATATATGAAATAAACAATAATTAATTATATTAAACTTATAAATTATTATTATTAAAATATATTTAAAATAAATCACGAAAATAAATTTATATTCCTACATACATGTTATAATTAAAGTAAAAAAATTAAGTCTTAATATCCTATTAAAAAATAATTTTAGTATTAATATTATTTTTTTATAGGCTTATACTTAATATATTACTTTTAATAGTTTCTATTTATAAACAAATAATGAAAATTAAAAAGTTTAGTCTACTAAAATGATTTGCTTATAATAATTTATAATTAGAATTTGCCAATATTAGTTAAGAGATAAATTAAAATTCTATAAAAATATAAAAATTATAATGAAAATATAAATATTAACTTTTTATAAAAAAAAAAATATTTATAAAATATTTTCAAAAATTAATTTTTAATTTATATAAAATAATATATTTAAAATTAAAAAATTATATATATATATATTTATATATACTTATATATATTATTATAAATAAATATTTACATAAATATATTTTTATATTTTTCATATATATACAATATTTTTTTTTATATTATTATCATTTTTATTTTTGTTTCTTTTTATATATTTTTTATTTCGTATATTAAAAATTTGCCTTTATTAAATTTAATACAAATCAGATATTTCATTTTATTTTGATATATATTAATTAAAATTTTAGATTAAATATTTATTTAATATTATTTTATTATATTTATTTCTATTTTTTTTATTTATATAAGTATTAAAATTTTTTTTAAAAAATAAATAATTAAGGATTTTGAGTACATTTTATAATACTCTTTTAAGTTTAGTTGAAAGTATTTTATGAATAATCTAAGTTGCAAGAAATTTTATCTAAAGAAGGTAAACAAGTATCTGGTATTTTAAAAGTTAACAATATCATTTAAAAATCATATTAATCATTTTTTTATGTATAATTTTTATTAATCGAAATATATAAAGTTATTTATTTTATATATTTAGTTTCATTTTGTATTTTTTTTTATATTATGTATAATTTTTGTATATTTTTATTTGTAAAAAATTTTGCTTTTAAAATTATTATAAACTTCATATATATATATAAGTTAGTTTTTTTTTTTTTTCATGAAAATTCAAGAAATTTTCGATATTCATTAATAAAAAATATCCTCATAGATAGTAGGTAAGAGTATTTTTTGAAAAGAGTTTTTTTCCAAAAAATTAAACTTTTGAATTTATTTTCTAGCTTTTAGACATGGACATTTTTTATTAATACACGAATAATTTGAAAAGATGAATTCTTACATAAACTAAGTATTCTTTTTAGGATTATATTTTAGTATATTAGAATCATTATGGATATAAATATGATCTCTATTTTTAATTACTTAAGAGTTATATTATTAATGGGATAAATTATTTATTTCGAAAGATTTTATTCCATATTTAAAATTAATTTTAGAATTATATTCTGTATTTTCTTTTTTTTAGATTACTCTTTCTTGTTTTCTTTGGTTTTCAAACTTTCTAATTCCCCTTCATTTTCTTTTTCTTTGTTTTTTATTTATTATTATTATGTTAATATCTATAAATATGGTTCTTTAAATTATTAATTTTGAGCATTTAGTCTAATAAAATATACAATGAATGTAGATTTGTTTATCAAAAAAATAAAGCAAAAACTATTCTATTTTTTCAAAAAGCTTTAGATTATATTTTAATAAATGATTATATTTTATTATTTATTTTAGAATTAAAAATAATTCATTGACTTTTTGTATATTAATAAGAAAGTTTTAATGTTTATTAAGAACAAAGTCAGTATAAATACTATTATGTTAAAGGCTAAATTACTCATTTTCTTTTTTCTTTTTTTTTTTTGGTAAAAAGTGGGAAAGGGGAATAATTTTAGAGAGTAATTTAGTTATTATTATTTTTTTATTTTATTTTTAAAAATAAAAATAATAATCAAATAGGTTTTTTTTTTCCTTCCTTTATAAAAAAAAAAATTATAATAAGTAAATAATTTAAATGAAGGAGAATTATATATAATTGAATAATTTAATATTAAATAATATTATATTATATCATTTGTTTCTATATAATTATCAAAATTTCTTATTATAAATAATATAATTTCGTTTAAAAAATTAAATTACTATTTAAATTAAATTTATTATTAAAATAATTTAATTTTTTAATAGTTAAAATTTTTGTATAAACTAATTGTAATTTATATATTTTTATTAAATTAAATATAAAATAGTTTTATTAATACATTTAGTTTATATATAAACTTAAAATCAAAAATATTATAAAATAATATAATTCAAAATTTAATTTTAAACTTAATAAATAAATAATTTTTATTTTTATATTATATAATTATAAAAAAAAAAATATAAATAAATTATAAACCTAAAGAATATATATTATAAAAAAATATTCCAATAATAAAATTAAAAAAAATTAATATAATATAAAAAAGTAAAAATAAAAAACATATATTATATTTAAAAATATGGAATAAAATTAAATAATTCCCAATAGTAATTATAAAATAATATAAGAAATCGGATCTGGTGCATTTTCCGTCGTATATAAATGTGAAGAAATAAAAACAAAAAAGATAGTCGCAGTTAAACAAATAATAAAAAAAAACCTTCCTCAAGACTACCAACACTAAATTGATTAAGAAATAAACTTAATAAGTCGTTTAAATAACGATCATATATTAAAATTAGAAGACATAATATAGGATATATAAGGAAAATACGTATACTTAGTAACAGAATATTGTGAATTAGGGGATTTAGATAAATTTATTAAAAACGTATTTCTAACAAATGAAAATAGAGTTCCAGAAGAATTAGTAAAAGCATTTTCTTACCAAATTCTACTAGCTTTTTTAACTATGAGAGATTAAGGAGTGGTACATAGAGATATGAAATTATCGAATATATTAGTAAATAAAAATTTGGAGTGTAAATTAGCTGATTTTGGCTTAGCCACAGAAAACGATTTGTTAGATTAAAATACAGTCGGAACTTATATTACTATGGCCCCAGAAGTTTTAACTAATTAAAAGACTACATATAAATGTGATGTGTGGTCTTTTGGGTGCATGATTTATTAGATGTTGGAAGGGGTTCCTCCTTTTAATCCTAAAAGTCAGTAATTGGAAGAATTAAAATAATTAGTTTTTAGAAATTAAATAATTTTTAGAAGTAATGTAAGTGAGGATGGGAAGAATTTAATAAGGAAAATGCTTAAGTTAAATCCTGAAGAGAGAATTTCGTGGAAGGACATGTTTGGAGAAAATTGGTTTTAATCATGTCTATCGAGTAATCAGTATATATAGAATATTATTAATGAATATAAAAATTATGTCGTTATGAGCGATTTTGATGAAAAAAATAACAATAATCATACAAATGAGTAATAGGAATAAGATATGGATGATCTTTTAGAATGTTTAATATATGAATTGAGTGAGTTTTTTAACTAAAAAAGTTAAAAATTTATAAATTTTATTCAATAAGCAAGGAATTCGCTTTTTAAATATTAAAAATGTAGTTATAATAGCGAAATATTGGATATTTGTTAAAAATTAATTGATTATTTTATTATTTTGATGTTTTTTTAAAAATATAATTTCGTGATTTTGAATAAAACATTTTTATTAGAAGTGCCTAAACAGGTAAAGATGAAATTAATAAATATTTTACCAAAAGAAAAAAGGGAATAGATTAAAAATATTTATTAAGAAATTGCAAATAAATTTAATATTATAAGCATTCAAGATATTTTAGGAATTAAATTAATAGAATTATGTAATAAAGAAATTGAGTATATTGAAAAATTCGTAGATATTAATAAATAACATAATATTAACTTAATTAACTTAATATAAGCTATGGGAAGCTATACATTTCTAATCGGAAGTATAGACTCAATCAAATTAAATTCTTAATAGTTGGATAATTAATGTATAAATTTTTTATCAGAGTGTGATTTTGAATATAAATATATCTAATTTAATAATTATAACGATCTAAATAATAGTGAAATTGAGGAGTTTGAATTCAAGTTTGGAATTAAATATCATTAAACAAATTTTGTAGATGAAAAAAAATTATAAGATATTCAGTTTTTTATAGAAACTCTAAATTAATAAAAATAATGAAAGATTTTAAATATAAAAATAATTTATGTTTACTTATTTAAATAAAATAAAAATAAATAAAAAATTATATATATAAATTTATTTAAAAAAAGAAAATTATATATAAATATATAAAATATATATTATATATATATTTATATATATATATATATATATATATATATAATTATATTTATATCTATTATAAATTTTTATTTTATAAATTTCTTTAAGATATTAAAATTAATTTATTTTATTACTAATTGTCTATATATATTTTTTTATTTTATTATATATATTTTTTATTTTTTTATTTAAAAATAAATTCATATTATTTTTATTTTTTATATTTTAAGTAATAACTTTAAATTTTTTTTAAGATTATTTTTTTTTTTTCTTTTTTTTATAAAAAATTACTAATGATATTTATAATTCTTCTGAATAATTTTTTTATCTTTATTAATTAGATAATGATATATTAAATTTACTAACTATTAAAAATTTACTTTCAATTTATAAAAATAAAATAAAAATTAATATTGTTTTTACGTATCTATTATTATATAAATAATAATTCTCAAATAAAAGTTTTATTTTCCTTAAGTTTTAATTATTTATATAATTTAGATTAATATTTTATTTAGAAAATTAATAAATTAATAAATACATTAATCATAATATCTGAATTTACTTTTATAATGTTATTTAAGAAAAAATATAAAAGTGTATATTTTTTTATTTAAATTTATAAAAATTAGTCCTTTTTTTAGATAGAGATAACTTGTAAATAATTAAAATTTTAAAACTTTGGTTTTATTATTCATTATTGACTTCAAATTAGATATAAATTTTAAAGTCAATATTTAGAAAATTTATATTTTTATAATATTTTAGAAAAATAATAATTTCAAAGAAAAAGTATAATTTATTTTTAATATTGAAAATAATTATTTGGATAATGTTAATATAAACAAAAATAAACAAATTATTTTTAAATAAAAAAATAAAAAAATAAATAAATTTAATCATGTTAAAAAGAGAAAAATTATGCAAATTTATAACTTTAACAATTCAACATAATTTTGAAGATATATATTTGTAAAAAATTAATTCTTATATAAAAAATTAAAAAAAACATATTATATAGGCGTAAAAAATATAAAATAAAAATACTAAATATAAAAATAATTAAATTAATAAATTAAAAAATAATATATAAGAAAAAAAAATATATCTATATATCTTAAAGAAAATAAATATAATATTATAAAAATCAAATTAATATTAAAAAAAATAAAAGTTATATTTAAAAATAAAATAGAATAAATATAATGTATTATATAAAAAAAATTGTAATTAATATATATATTTATATAAATATTTATTTTAAATATATTATTATTATTTTCATATTATTTTTAATAATTATACTCTTTTTTATATTTATTATTATGTTTTGTTTTCTAATTTTTATATAATTTCTTCATTTATGTTTTAAATATTTTATAATATATTTTAATCTTCATTTTGATTCCATATAATATTTTCGTTTTATATTTCCCCGTTTTAGAAGTATTTTTTTAAAAACTAAAAATCCCATGTTATATCATCCAAGAAATATATTAGTGCTTCTTTTTTTAAATTCATTTCTTTTGATAAAAATAATATTATATTCTCGTATTATTCTTAATTATTTTATTTTTTAGTTCTTTATTTTTATACTTTTAATATTATTTTTTATATTTTTAATAATATTATTATTTTTTACCTTAAATTTCTGTTTATTTTTTACTTTGTTTTTCTAAACATTTTTATATTACAGTTTAATAATTATTTACAATTTTTTATTTTTAATTTGTAATTTCCATTTTTTTCCTTTATTCTGATAAAAATTAGATATTATTTATTTAAGTTTATGGATATTATTTTTACAAGGAGTTTTAAAAAGAATTATTTTAAATATTTGGGTTATATTTATTAAACTTTGGGGTCGGAATCACTTATTTAATTTTATTTTTCTCATTTGATTATTATTGAGTGAATAAGTTAGACTGGAAATTTTAAAAATTATTAATTTATTTGTCTGTAATAATATTGTTTATGTAAAAGTTGCTTTTCTTATATTAAATTTATTGTAGTTTTTTATTTTTATCGAAAATTAGATACGTTTCCTATTGATTTATACATAATAGGTAATCATATATTTAAATTAAATCTACTAAATCTAAATTTCTAAGGATTTCATTTCTTTTGATTATTGATTATTATTATCTACTAGGGTTTATTTTTTTATCTTCGATTAGTTTTTCGATAGCCTTTTATTAATTTTAATTTATTTTAGTTATTAAAATATATTAATAAGTTCAAATCTTCATATAGATTATATCTTTTGGGCTTTTATTGTGGAATTTCTTATATTATATAATCTTATATGAGTTCATTTATTTTATTTAGAATGGTATTAAAGTCATGTTTTGTTTATTTATTCATTTATGTTTTAGTAAAAGGTTAATTATTTTTTTTAGCTTAAAAATAAACTAAAATATTTATTTAGTTTTTTTATAAAAAAAACATAAATATTATTAATAAATTAAGTAATTTTTATTTTTTATACAATTAATATTCTTTTTAAAAATTATATTTTATAATAATAATAATAAATAATATAATTAAATTTTCTTGAATATATATATATTCTGTATTAATTAATATCAAGTTTCTGTGTTTTAGTTAAAAGCCATGTTTTCAAATTCTTTTCGAAATAATAATATACAGTTTTTTTCATAAATATTTTATAAAAGTATATTTATGCTTAATATTTTTGATAAATATTATATTTAATTTTATAAAAAAATAAATTAAACTTTATAAAAGTTGGCTTTTTTTTGGAAAAAAATAATAATATTTATTTTAAATAATTTATATTTAGTTTTTTTTAGTAGATAAATTTAAGTAAATAATTGTTAAAGATAAATCAGAAAATTACAATTAAAAACTGAAATAATATTAACAATACGATTATATTTAATGAAATATACAATTTTTTTATTTATTTTTAAATTCTTTATATTAGTAAATAGTCTTTTAAATTTCTTAATACATTATTATTCCTTTTTCAAATTGAAAAATTCATATTTTAATATATATGATTAAGACTTTACAAGGGCTTTGTACTATATAATTTTTTAGTAGCTAAATTATATAGTCAAAAATATATAGAAATTTTGGTATTATATAAAATATAGTTCCTGTATTTATTAATTATATGTTTTTAATAACTTATTTTATTAAACAAAAGTTTAAGAGCTATTAATTTAAGGAAATAACCTTTTTTATTGTATTTTATTCTGAAATAATTTGTTATTTTAATTATAAATAAAAATCTTAAATAATTAATTATTTTTAATTTATATTTAAAATTAATTAAAAAATATATATTTATTAAAATAATTACAAAAAACAAAAAATTATAATAAACATTTCCTTTTACACAAAAAAATTCTATTTAAAAATAAAGTAATTAAAAATTAAAAAGAGGGGGGGGCGAAAAAGAAAAATCATAAAATAAAAAAATATAATATTATTAATAAAAGAATAAACTAAACTAAAATAAAAAAAAAAAAAAAAAAAGAAAATGTAATAAATTTTTTTATTTATTTTCCAAATTTTATTAAATCTATTTTTCTGTTCCCAATATTTCGAAGAATACAACAAATACGATTACTTAGACAACGGTGATAACTGGTAATGGGATGATATATAAAATTGTAAAAAATCCTTAATATAAAGTCCCATAGATTTAACAATAGAAAATTCATAAATATCTGAAAATCAATATATGTTCCCACACTATAATCCAGGAAAAATGAACGTTACAAAACTAAATACTACGGTATATTTAAACTCAGTTGATGATACCGGATTAGGGTATATTTACCATTTAACAATTTTAAATACAGCAGGTACTTTTAGAATGGATTATATAAGATTTAGAACTCCGTCTGAACATACAATATATGGGGATAGATTTGATATGGAGGTTTAGCTTTTCCATTTTTATGGTTTTAAGACTTCGAGTAATGTTAAAGTAGTACTGAGTCTTTTATTTAAGAAAAACAATTAAGCACCTAAGGATGAGTTTTTGTAGTAAGTCATAGATACTAAGAGTGGGTAAGTTACAGAAAAAGAAATTGATTTGAGAAAATACTTAGATATGGAGAGTATTATTAATACTAATTATTATTATTATTTAGGGTCGCTTACTTTCCCTTATTGTTCTGGAAACTATAATTGGATTATTTTAGATAAATATTTTGAAGCGCAGGAAAGTTAAATTAATGCAATTAGGGATATTTATATGAAGGATAATAAAAATATTAAAAATGGTAATTATAGGAAAACTAGGAGTACGGAATTTATTCATTTAAGATATAATGGAGATTTAAATAATCCGAATTCTTATTCTTATTAAAAAAGAAATTAAAAGAAAAAAGAATTTTGATTTTATATTAAAAGAAAAATAAATTAAAAAAAAATGTTTAATAAATATTTATTATTAAATATAAAAAAATACAGCAAATAAAAAAATATTTATATATTATTTATTTAGTTTTTTCAAATCTAAACTCCATGTTCTTATCCCCACTTTCTTACAACTTTAAAGATATATTCGACCTATTATTATTTTTATTGTTTATAAATAAAAAAAAAAGTTAAACCTAAGGATTATTTCCTCCACTTTTAAGCATATTTAGAACTTCAACTAAATGATCACTTGAATCTTTCTAAGCAATAACCATTTAGAAAACACCTATTTAATAAATATAAATATATGAATATAGATATATAAATATATATATATATAATATATATTATATAACAAATTATTATATCTATTTATATAATTATTAATATTTAATAATATATATATATATATATATATATATATATAAATATAAATACCTACTACTGCTCCCCTTAGAGCATCTTCATAATCTCTTTCTGAATCTAATCTTTCTAAAATATCAAAAGCTTTTGCAGCATAATAGAAATGTCCCATTTTATAGCAATCATTAGCAATAAGTAATAATAGTTAAAAAGACTCACTTGAAGTTTCCATGTTAATATATAATTCCCAAGCTAATTTTGGTTTTCCATTCATAATATAAGTTCTAGTAAGCCATCTAATATATGTATCATCATTTCTATATTTTTCATTTTAAATTAATGTAAAGGCTTCTTCAGAGTCTTTATATTGTCCGTTTCCGGAACATGCAATAGCATAATTCCAGTTAAAATCGTCGTCATTTTAGAAGAAATTTCGAATTGATTTTAAATATACTAACACGTCTTCGAATTATTTCAGTAAAAAAAAGCAGGAAGCCATACATTGACGGCCAGGGATAGTGTCGCATTCACTAGCCGAAGATCCGACTAATTAAAATAATTACTAGGCGGCCTTTAAATGTTCTTTTTGATCATTTTCTTAACCTAAAACGGCATAGACAACTCCTTTTATTATATATTCACGAGGCACAGAAGGTTCTAAGTCTTTTACAAGGGTAAAAGCCTCCTAATAAGATCCATTTTTCAAATGGTAAATGACTAAATTCAATCTAGCCTCTGGAAACACATCAATTAAAGGGGGGAAGACTTACAAAGCGTTTTCTCCTCCTCTAAAAACAACTAAATTATGTCTCAATAAATCGTTATCTTCAAAAATATTGGAACCTTCATAAGCTTATTGGAGTGGTTTGAATGAATCTTCTGCTATTTTTCCGGAAAAAAGCTAATATTAATTGACAGCCTTGAGATTTGCAGCTATTATAGAAGAAGGATTTTAGTTTATATAAGCACTTAAAATTTCTAAAGAAACATCATAGTAATCTAGCTTATAATAACATAAGGCTATATAGACATTTATGGCTAAATATTCCTTATTTTCTAATAATAATTTCTTATATATGTCTACTGCTTCTTCATGATGGGAACGTAAAAAATGAATTGCGGCTAAACATAATTAATCTTATGTTGTATCATTTAGTTTATGGTGGTAGGCCATGAGATTTTTTTCGTCACTTTTCTTATGGGCTATATGGAACATTAAACGGTTTTATAAATCACATTCTGTTCCTTTTTGGGCCTTAATTTATATATTTATATATTATTTTTTTGCTTTTTTATTTATTTTTTTTACTTCTCTTTTTGCTTCATCATAATTACATAAAGCATAATGACAACAAGCTTTATATACATGAAGAACTTTATTATATTCAGGTTTTTTTGTCATGTCGTCATATATTTAGATTGCTTTTCTACATATAAATTTTTATTACTATTATTATTTATGTTTATAATAACATAAGGATATATAGACATTTATGGCTAAATATTCCTTATTTTTCTAATAATAATTTCTTATATATGTCTACTGCTTCTTCATGATGGGAACGTAAAAAATGAATTGCGGCTAAACATAATTAATCTTATGTTGTATCATTTAGTTTATGGTGGTAGGCCATGAGATTTTTTTCGTCACTTTTCTTATGGGCTATATGGAACATTAAACGGTTTTATAAATCACATTCTGTTCCTTTTTGGGCCTTAATTTATATATTTATATATTATTTTTTTGCTTTTTTATTTTTTTTTTTTTACTTCTCTTTTTGCTTCATCATAATTACATAAAGCATAATGACAACAAGCTTTATATACATGAAGAACTTTATTATATTCAGGTTTTTTTGTCATATCGTCATATATTTAGATTGCTTTTCTACATATAAATTTTTATTACTATTATTATTTATGTATTTTACTTATAATCTCCATTATGAAAACAACAATAAGCATGCCAAAGTTAAGTTTCTTCTTTTGTATCAGTTAATCTGTATTAATATTTTTTTTTTTTGTTTTTTTTTTTTTTAATTATTTTTTTACCTTCTTTCGTTTTCTAAATGAACTATTGAACCTACCCAATCTCGCTTTTTTATATATTCGTCTAATTAGGGTATTTTGTTTTCAACCTTTTTTTAATTGTATTTTTTTTTTATTATTATGAGAGTTTTACTTTACGGACAGCTACGCCTGATGATTATTTGTTTATTTTTGCTTTTGATATGGATGATCCTGGTCTATACATAATAATTATTATTATTAGATTTAATATAAAATATATTTATTTATTTATTATTTAAATAAAATATTTGTAATTTTAAATTTTTTTTAAAAAAAAAAATTATTTGCAATATAATAAATAATATACTTTTATTTTTTATTTTATTTATATAATGATATTTTTTATATATAATTAAAAATTTAAATTTTTTTTAAAAGCATTTAACAGTATTATATTAAAAAAATAAAAAATGAATTTATATAATTAATGAAAATTTATATAATAATTGTGCTATTTTATAAGTGTCATTATATCTATATGTTATTTTTTTAAAAAAAAATATAAGTTGTTAAAAAAATATAAATAAGTTTATAATATTCTAAAACAAATGATCATCAAAATAAAAGAATGTTTATTTTAAAATTTATTTTTCATTATCAAATATATATAATATAAATAGAAAGGTATTGAAATTAAATAATAAAAAAATTATTAACTTAATAAATATAAAATTTATAGTGAAAATATAAATAAAATATTATATATATATATAGATATATATATTTATATATATATATATATATTTTATTATATTTTAAATTTTTATTTTTATATATTATGTACCATATTTTTTTTCTTTATTTATAGTTTTATATTTATATTATGATTTACTTTTATAATATTTTTTTTTTTATTTTTTTTTTTTTTTTTTTTTTTTTTTATTAAAATTAATTTTTTTTTTTTTTTTTTAAACTTATAAATTATTATTATTAAAATTAAATATTTTAATTCTTTTTTTAAATATTTTTTTATTTTTAATAAATTATTAATATTTATTTATATAAAATATATTTAATACTTTTTAATTACTATATTTTATTTTTTTATATTTAATCGAAATGTTCTAATAAACTATCTCTATTTATAGAACAAAAATCTATTATAATTTTACAGTTAATATTTATACACTATAATTTTTACTTTTAACATCTTAATTATTTATACAATCTTTTTTATAATTTTAATTTTTTAACATTAATAATATTTACATCCTTACTTAAATAAATATAATAAAAAGATATTTTATTTTTTACTTACACAAATAAAAATGTAAACATCTGATAATAAGATATAAATGTTTTAAATATTATTTTTATATTATTTATTTTTTTAATTTAAAAAAAAAATGTTAAATTTTTATTTTTATTATAAAAAATTTATTTTCATAATTATAATATGTTTATTAATAAAGTATGTTTATGTAAAAAAATAAATAATTATATTAATATTTATAAATTTGCACTTTTTAAACGTAGAAAATTATATAAAGTTATATAAAAAATTTAAATAAAACTATTACTTAAAAATGTATTTAATTTATAATGCTCCTTTATATAAAAATAATTAATTTTTACTAAAATATCTTTTATTTTGCTTTAAATAATATTTAGCGATTAATATTTTTTTATAGACAACTCAATTATTAATTTATTATTAAATAATTTACAATTTAAAATATAATTATATTTAAATATTGTTAGAAGATTTATATTATACATATTTTAATATTCCATAAAATTAATAAATTTTATAATAAAAGCATTAATTTTAATATAAATTTTATTAATTTAACAATTAAAAAAAATATATATTGTTAAAATATATATAAGAACACAATAAACAATTATTTTAATATACTTTTAAAATTTCCTTAATTTCCTAAATAACAACCCCAATTTTAAACCCCTCCAATCATTATTAATATATTTGAAAAAATGATAAAAAAGAACAGCAAATTCTATTATTTAAACTGATATTAGCTTCTAAAAGCTATATATATTTATTATCTTAGATGATTGCTAACTAAAAGAACTTCATAGGATATTTCAAAATTACCTTACTGAATGAAGAATTTATCGGATTATATACACTATATGATAGTTTATTGGGTCTGAACAAGGAGGATGATTAAAAATTTACTCAATTAAAAGTCTATTATCTTAAGTATATGATAATTGTAATAAAAAGGGAATTCTGTAAATAGATATATATCCGAAAAATGAGGAATTTCCTAAATGTATTTTTCTAATTACTTCTGGATAGTGGAAATTGATATTTAAATAATAAAGTATTCGTTTATTTTAATTAGTATAAATTGGGAATTTAAGGATTTATAGTCTTTAAAAATTAAAAATTTTGAAACTAGTTGTGTATAAAGTATATAGTGTCAGAGATTTGTTCTCTTAAGAAAATTTGGGAAATTTTATAGGGTTTTTAAAGGAAATGTATTATATCATGGTTTTTTGGCCTATAGATTAGAATTTTTAATAGGTAATTAATAATTGGCTTTTATATAGAGAATTTGTGGAATTATTTTGTTATAAATTATGCTGTTTTTTTTTTTAATTAATTTTTTTTATTTTATAATTATATAAATGTATTTTTAGTACAGTATTATTTTTTCTTTATTAAAAATAATTTATTTTTTTGCTTTAAATATGTATTTTTACTTTCTACTTCAAATTTTAAATGCTTATTAAGGTATAAAAAATCTTATTTTATTAATAATATCTAATTCATGTTCTTCTACATTAGCTTCATTCTCTTAAATTTTTTAATTTTCTATTAAAATCTAGGACCTGACTTTAATTTCTTATATAATATTTTTAGTATTAATAACATTTCTTTCTTTAAATAAAACTGGAAAATATTTAATACTTTCTTCATTTTAGATTATATCTTCACTTAATACATAATTATTTATTTTGGAAGACGATTCTAGACTTAGATTAGATAATAAACTTATAATTTATGATTATTATTAATTTTAAGGGATTTCCAAGAATTTAACCTCTAAATTACTTTCTTTTAAACTTTTTTTTTTTTTCAGGTTTCTATATTCGCTTAGATTTTCCCACTCGAATTCTTCTTTTTTTTCAATGAATTCTTTTGGCTTTTATTCCTTTATTTTTTGTAAGATTTACCTTAAAAAATCGTAGTTTGGGTTTTCATCGAATTAAAGTTCTTTTATATATTTCATAAAAATTAAAAATTCTTAGGGTAGTTCTTTGAAATATTTATAGTTGGAAAATTGCTGTTTTATATTTTATATTTTTTAGTATTTTTCTTCCTTGCTTTAACCGTAAACACTCTACCAAGGTAGCTTATTATTCAAAAAATATACCAAACAATACCCTAGAGACTCCAAGTCGTCTCTCCTAGACTACTCTAGACCTAAATGGGCATTTATAGAGGCATATCTTGCAGTTCCAATCATTCCCTTATTTTTTTTTAGAGAAATATGGATATTATTATTGCTATAAAATTTGGCTAATCCAAAATCAACTAAAAAAATCTTATCATAATCACAATTTGGGCCGATGACGAAATTTTCGGGTTTAATATCTCTATGTATGATGTTTTTTTTATGTAAATTTTCCAAAATAGTGATTGTTTATAATCCTATATTTACAATTGTTTTTAAGGAAAAATTGCATTTGCATTTTTAAAATAAATATTCTAGATTTTTACCTAAAAGAGTCATTGAAATATATATATATTAGTCAATTTTTCCATAGGAAATTAAATGAGGAAAACCATATTTATATAAATTTTAAATTTCATTTAAAATTTTAATTTCGCGATGTATTAACTATGCATTATTTTTAATCTTTTCTATTTTTAAAGCAGAAATTTGCTAATTCTATATATTTTATGATTTAAAAACTTAACCAAATGCACCTTGGCCGAGTTTATTTTTTAAAAGGTATTTATTATCAATTATTTGGGAAATTTTAAGGGATTCTTAAGAAGAATCATCTTTGGATTTTAGTGAGAAACTTGTAGATTTTTTACTTGCTTGCATTTTGATTTTCTTTTGCGTTTTTTTTTTTTTTGAAAGTTTATTTTATGTGCGTTTTTTTTTGCTTTTTTATAGTGTTATTGATATACTTTTATTGAGTTTTTTCACGATTTTACTTTTATATTGAGCGTTTTTTTATATTTTTATATAGCTTTTTTATCGATATTACTTTAATTTGAGTGATAAAATGAAATTAATTTTTTTTTAGTTTTTTTGTTGATTTAAATTATTTATTTTTTAATAGATAATTTATTGTTTTTTTACATAATAAATGATAAAACAAATAAATTATATATTTGTATGTATTTGGTTTAATTATTAATTTAGTTTATATTATTTACATAATATTTTATTATATTTTCATTATTTATAAAATATATATTTTTAAAAAATATTTTTTTATATTTTTAAAATAATTATATCAAATATTATTATATATAAATGTTTTATATTTTTGTATAATTATTAATATAAAAGCAATTATTTACAAAAAAAATATAAATCTATAATAAAAAAGAATTGAAAAATTGCATATTTAATTTTTAATAAAAATTAAAAATATAAAATCTAATAAAATATAAATTTATTAAAAAAAAAAGTAAAAATATACCAATAAATAAAAGTTATAAAAACATAAAAATATTCAAAAAAAAAAAAAAAAATGTACAATAGTCGCTTAATACACCTAAACTCAACTTCTCCTGTGAAATTAGATATTTCCTTAGCCTAAAATAACTCTGATAAATACACTCCTAAAACCATAAAAAGAAACCCATCTTAGAGCAATTACAAATAATCAGGAGAAAAACCCGCATAAGCAGATCTTTTGAAATCTCTTTGTAATTAACTTGAAAATTAATTATGTTAAGCTAATTCTGATTTAGAACTAGCTAATTTTCGTGCTAGAAAAGCTGTTGAATTAGAATAAAAAATAGAAAATGTATTAAAATAAAACGCTGCCTTATGTTCTGAAAACGAGATATTATAAAAATAATCAAATTAAAGAAAAGCTGAAAGTGACATATGGAGATAAAAATACGAATCACAAATGAATAATATTGTATTTATGAAATCTAATTATGAAATGGAAACAAAAAGGCTTACTTAGGTAAACTAAAGAGCAAAAGATGAATTAAAACAAGGAGAAATAAACCTTGTGAGGTCTATAGAGGAGACGAAATAACGTTTAGAGAATGAGCATCACGAAAAAATTGAAAATATGAAGAAAAGTCATAAAAATAATATAGATTTGTATGAAGAGTAATTGAAAAAAATTCGATAGATTTTAGAAGAAAGAGAAAAAGAATTCGCCCTTTTATAAAGCTAGGTTTTTTAGGTAAAATATGATGGAAATAATCAAAATAATAGAGTAGTTGAAGATAGGGAAAAATTAAAGATGAAAATCTCAGAATTGGAACTTTAAAGTTAATAAGAGTTGGAAAATTTGAGGAGTAAATTAGATAATTAAACCCTTTAATAGTTGGATAGTCTCAAGAGATTGCATGATAATGAACTAGAAGTCATGTCAGGGGAAATCAATAAACTTAGAGGCCTTTTGGATGTCAAAACGAGGGAAATTGAAGCCTTGATAGAATAAAATAGAGGATAAAAAGTTAATTTTGAAGAAGAAGTAGGACTTTTAAGAGCAGAAATTTAAGCTCTTAAGAAAAAAATTGTGGTGAATAATAACTTTGCTAATGCTCAGATATAGGAAGTGAAGGAATAATTAGCTAAATAGAACTTATAGGACATAGAAGGGTTAAAATATCATAATGAAAATCAATTAGAAGCTTTAAATAATGAGATTTAATCTTTGTAAAGAATCGTGGCTGACAAATAAGAAGAAATCGAAAATCAGATTAGGGAGAAAGGATTATAAAGGGAAAATTATAATTAAGAAATTTGTAAACTACAAGAAGAAATTGAAAATTGGAAATATAATTTAAATTCTATTGAAAATTTAAAAAATTAAGAAATTGAATAAATCAATAATAAATATAATTGCCTAAATGAAAAAAATATAGAATTCCAAAGATAATAAAAAGATTAAATTTAATATTTAGAAGGTGAAGTAGATATTTTAAAAGGACTCATAAACTCTAAAAATTATGAGATTGTGAAGAATAGAGAGCAAAATGGGTAGATCGTGGAAGGTTTTTAATAAGATATAAATAATTTGTAAGAAGACAATGAAAATACGAAGAAAAACTTAGATAAAATGTAAAATGAAAAATATATTTTGATAGAAGATTTAAAAATGAAACTTTAAGTTTATAAAAACAACTCAATTGAAGAAAAAAAAAAGTTTTAAAATGCAACTAAATATCTAGAATAAGATATTTAAAGATTTTAAGGTATTTTAGAAAAAAAAAAAAAAATATAACATTATTTATAAAATTATATATATATATATAATTATATAAAATAAAAATATTTTTAAATAAAATAATTTATATATAAAAACATAATATATAAATTTATCTTTAGAAATAATAAGTGTTAAAGATTAAGAAATAGAAAATTTAAAAATATAAAGGGAAAATTAAGATAGGGAAATTAAAAAATTAAATAATGAATATTATTCATAAGCTGATCATATATTAAAACTTTAGAAATTAAAAGCGAAAGAATTAGAAGATTTAAGATTAAAATTAGAAAACTAAAATAATTTTACGACTGAATAAATTAAGGCTTCTCATTAAAACTAAGTAAATATAATGAATGGGGAAATTCAAGATCTAAAACATATTTTATAGTTAAGAAATACTGAGAATTAAGAACTTATTAATAAATATGAAAGATTAGAATAGGCATTAGAGTAATTTTAATATAATGCTGAAAAAGTCAAAGAACATGATGATTAATGTAAATCTATTAGAAATCATATTTTGAATAACAAAATTATTTATGATTCGAAATCAAAATCTAGAATCTCAAGATATTCATAGGAAAGAATTATTAAATGAATAGTTTTTTTATATAGATATAATATTATTTCTATTAAATTATTTTTAATTGATATTTATATATATATATATATAAATCGATATTTAAATATATAAATTAATATATGTTATTTTTTTATAGAAAATATTTTTATATTTATGAAGAAATAATAATATTATATTTATATATATATATTATTAATATTTTTTTTTTTTTCCTTTTTTTAATTTTCAATATGCTCCCGTAATTTTTAACAAAATGTAAGAAGAAAACAATTATATTATAGACATCAAATAAAGTATATTTTTTTAAGAAAGTTCTGAAAAGCTCATTTATCCTTTAAAAATAAACATATATATTTATATATATATATAATACCAAAATTATCAGATAAAGTATTCATATATCTTCTTAATGTTTTAAAAACAAAAAAAATTGAAGATCCAAGTAAATAAATCATCAAAAAAGCTGTAATCCATCCTCCTATTATAATATTAGAGATCATAACTAATGTTAAAGAAATATATCTATATGATAAATGGCTCATCATATTAAGTATAGTTACATTAGTAATATTAACAAGATAAAACACTTTTTAAAAATAATAAATAATTAAATTTACATATATACTTATTTTTATATTTACGAAATTTAAATAAGAAAATTTCTAAGAAAGTGATCAATAAACAAAAGGAAGTATTTATTTGAATAATTTCGGGTTTAAAATTCTCACCAATGCCCGCTGATAAGCAAGAAACTAAAACAAAAGTAATTAATCCCATCAAAGGTATATATAAATCAGGTGCATGTATATTTTCCTTAGGAGAATTCGATTATGAAATTCCATTATTATCCGTATAATCATTTTATGATATCCATTCTCCTCTATAGAGGAACGGAGCAAGTATTATTTTAAGCTTTTTTAATACATATATGTTATCAACATCAAAATATGCTCGAACATTTTCGTTAAATATTTTTTCTCCTAGCCAGTCCCTTTGTAATGTTTTATCTATTAAATTATTTATTTTATCACCACCTCCGATTATTGTGCCTATGTTCTTAACTGTACTCATGTTAGATTAAAATTAATCAATGAAATTGTTAGGATTAAATTAATTTTATTGTTATTTATTGAAATTATTGGAATATTATTGCATTTTATTTTTGTCAATTTATATTATGTTTATATATAATATATTTATATTGAAATATAAATATATATATATAAATATATATTTATATATATATTTATATATTTATGTATATATATATATATATTTATTCTAAATATTATATCTTTATTTTATAAATTAATTATTATTTTTTTTTTATTAAAATTTTTTTTTTTTATATTTATTTTTTTTTAAAAATATTTATATATAATTTTTAAATAATTTTTGTTTTTTTTATATCTTTTTTTTTAATCAATCCACTTTAGCCTAACTATATATATACTTAACAAATTTTAAAGAAGCAATAAAACTTACACTACCTAATACCTATTTAAAATAATAATAATATTTAAATTAAAATAAAAATAAAAAATACCATAAAAGTTACAAAGCAAAATACTGACATATACCCAAAATAAAACAAAAACTTGAAAAATTAAAAAAGTATATAAAAAATAAAATACTTATAATGTTCCATGCATTTTTGACTATTCATAATAATAATAAACAATATAAATAGCCATAAAAATTGAAGTTGATCTTTTTTATTAAAAAAATAATATTATTTAATAACAAAAACAAAGAATAAATACCCTCCATATAAAAACGATCTCCACCACCAATTATAATCAAGAGCATTTAATTAAAATATGTAAGCCCAACAGAAACGCAAGCCTAAACAATAAGCAAAAGTAAAACGCAATACTAATAACTCCATATAAATGATAAATTTTATATCCCCAAACACTACTAATAACATATTTCAATTCCATATATATAGAGCTATAAATATTAAAAAAATATATTAAATATAAATAGAATTTACCTAAAAGGTAATAACCCCCCTACAAGTAAATGAAAAATAGTTGTTTCATACCTAAATTATTATAGTAGTGAAATATAAACATTTTTTTTTTTTTGAATACATTTTTCTTTTAGGGATAGGCTTTTGTAATCTAGGAATAGAAAAATCAGCACTCGGTAAAATATCAACAGTTCTAATTCTGGCAGTAATAGTTCCTACAAGTGTAAGAGGAATATAAATAACCAAAAATAATAAAATGACTAAAAATATAGCCTAAATAGGAATTGCGGAAGTCGATTATTTAGCCCAAGCATAAGAATTTACAACAGAAAAAACAATCAAAATTACAACAGGGAAAATACAGGAAGCAAAAATAAAATTCAAAGCCCAGTGTTTTCCACCTAGATATTTATAGTATTTAGCTGAATAGTATCCATTAAAAATTCCCGTAAAAGCATATAAAAATATTCCTACTTATTTTAAATTACCTTTATGTCCATAATATACGCCTAAAACTCCCAATAAAGATAGGTTTATTATTAATAAAATAAACTATATGCCGTTTCCTAAAAAACCAGATAGAGCTGATTTATTTGAAGGAGGCATTAAAGCTTCTGTCCTGACTAATTTCCAACCTATTTCTACAGCTTTTTTTTTATATATATATATATAAAAATATTTTTAATGAATTTTAAATTACATTAATCTGCTTCAATATCATTTGACAGTATAAAGTCTTTTTTTAAAATTCTTGATATTACTAAACTTACAAACATTACTAATATTAAGACTAATATAAATGAGTTTATAATTGAAAACCAATGAATTTGTGTTTCATCTTAATAGTCTCCATTAGTTACTAGTTCATCTCTATATATATATATAAATATATTTATATAATATATATATAAAAATATAAATATAAATATATATATATATATATTTATATATATTTTACTCTAATAGAAAATCTTGTTCAATATCAAGATCTTATGTATTTTATACTTCAATAAAATTCACGGAATATTTAAATTCTACAACTTATTATTAATCATCATTTGTTAAAAGTTAATAATCAGTATAATCGCTTTCTTCTGATTATGTTATGTTTGCGAATAGTAGATTCTATTATTTTTTTTAAAGTATCAAGTTATATTTAAGTATGTTTTTTTTTTTTAATTAAAAATAGAAAAATTTACATTATTTTTATAAAATAAGTTAAACTATATATGATTTTTTAAATAATATTTAGTAGTTTCTCCATCTTAATCTTTTTTATAATTTCCTATCCAATCATGTGTAATAAAATTCTCTATATTTTTTTAAAATAAAATAATATAAAAATCTTATATTTTAAATATATTTTATTTACCAACATAAAATTCTGCATAATAATCTTCTTCTATAGCAGCTTTGAAAATATCAATATCATAAACACTTAATGTTTTTTTTCCAATTGATTATTTTGTTATATTTTCTTATTTTTTTATTTTTAATATAAATATATATTAAAAAATAACAATTAATATATATAAAAGTATAAAAAATAAGTAATTATATATAAATACTTCCAAATAAACATGTATATAAAGAATTTTCCTTTCTATCTCCAGAAAGACTTTCTCCAAGACTTTATGATTATTCTTCTTCTTGATCTGGCTTTAAGAAAGGTAATAAATAATATCTTGTTTTTATTTTATTTTTATTTTTTTAATATGTTTTATTTTTTTAATATGTTTTATTTCTTTAGTTATAAAATTACTTGTAAGTTTCACTTGGATTATTTTAAGGTGCTATATTATTTACGAATATTTACACTGTTTAGTCTTTTTTAAAAGTTAAACCTGCTATGTTTATAATGAATACTTATAAAAGTGTTATAATTAATATCATTTTATTTTTTACAAGATATTTAATTTCGATACTATTTATTTAAGTTTATTTTTATAATATATAAAAAAATCTTGAATAATATGAAAATAAATTTTATATTAAAAAAAAAAATATTTTTAATATTTATATTTTAAAAATAATAAATATCTAATAAGATAAGCTATATTTTTAATTATAAAAAAAAATAAAAAAATAGATAACTTTTTTTTTATTAATATAATATTAATTTAATTTAAAATATAAAATTTTATTAATAATAGCAAAATTATTAATGTATATAATCCTTTTAATAAATCACTATTTAAATATTTTATTTATAATAGATTCAAGCTCTAATTTATGTACTTTACTAGATCCACTAGCGGTAGATGCACTAGGCTTTCTACCTACATATATTAAGTTATGATTTTAAATTAATACCTCTTTTTTCAATTCTTTTAATATCTATAAAAAATAAAATAAAAAAAGATTATATAAATAAAAAAAGAAAATACTAATTCAATTCTAGGTTCTACATATTACCATGCTCCATTATTTTAATGTTCTTCCTAAGACCAAATAAAATCTGCGTTTATATAATTTTAAATAGCAGTTCTAAAATCTTCATAAGGAAAAGGAGCTAATTATTCTATTCTAATAATAGCAATATCCTAAAAAAAAAATGTAAATATATTTATATATATATATATATATATATATATATATATATATATATTTATATTTATATATTTATATTTTTTTTTTTTACTTTTCTTTTTAATTCTTCACGTGAATTCAATAAATCCCAATATACTTATCCTGTACAGATAACGCATTTTTTTATCTTATTATTTTCTTCTAAATTAGTAGATGTTTCTGGTACAACAACTTTAAATAAATTTGGATTATCAGAAAATTCTGTAAATTCTTTAATATTTGAACAAGACTATTTTTTGTTAAAAATTTATTAAATATATATTTTTAAGATAAAAATATAAATTTATACTTATTTATATCTTAATAATTTTTTAGAAGTAAAACAAATTAACGGTTTTCTAAAATCTCGATGCATTTATCTTCTTAATGCATGGAAATAATTTGCTGAATATGAACAATAAATAACCTACCAATTGATATTTCTAGCTTATCCTTTATATCTTGTAGATGGGTTTTAAATTGCTTAATTAATATCATCATCACATGATTATAGAAACCTTTCTATTCTTCCTGAAGAATGTTCAGGTCCTTAACCATCCATACCATGTGGTAAAAGAAGTACAATACCAGTTTATACTCCCCATTTAGCTTCACCTGTAGAGATATAATTATCAATAATAATTTACCCTCCATTAGCAAAATCACCAAATTAAGCTTCCCATATAGTTAAACAATTTGGGTTTGTAATAGAATAACCATATTCGAACCCTAAGACTCCATATTCGGAAAGATGAGAATTTACTACTTAGAATCTATTGCTATTTCTGATATTTTCAGGGAGTACTTATAAGATCGGTTTTATTTTTTTGACTGAAACTTAATCGTTTAGAACTGCATGTCTTTAAGAGAAAGTTCCCCTTTCAACATCTTGGCCTGAAATCCTTATATTGTATCCTTCATGCAATAAAGTCGCAAAAGCTAAAGCTTCAGCTGTCGAAAAATCAATTTGATCGCCCGTTTTTATAGAATTCACCCTCGCTTGGAATATTTTCTGCAAGTTCGGATGCATATTGAAGTCTTCGGGAGTCTAACATATCTTCAAACCAATTTCCATTAATAATTTTTTATCAAAAGCAGTTCCTCCCATAACTCCTTTAGACTAAAAAGGGTTATTAACAACTTCCCACGGCTAACTTCTCCACTAAGCAGGGTTAAAACCTTCTTCTTTAGAAGTCATATATGCTTTAGTGAGTGCTTATACATAATGTTATTCAATTTCCTTGACTTCGTTCTAAGTAATTATTTTCTCATCTAACAACTTCTTAAGATATTTGGAATAAACAGGAACCATCTTCTCGATTTTGGAATACATCATAGGCTAAGTAAAACGAGGCTCATCTAATTCATTATGTCCATAGAGTCTATAACCAATAATATCTATCATAACGTCTTTTTAGAAAGTATTTCTGTAGTCTAAAGCCAATTTTATAACGGCGTCAACTAAATCAGGTTCGTCAGCGTTTACATGGAAAATTGGAGATTCAACAGTCTTCATTACATCAGTTGAATATAAACCAGTTCGATATTCGGCAGGAGTTGTAGTAAAACCTATTTAGTTATTAACAATTATATGTACTATTCCTTTTGGAGAATAGCCGAATAGTTGTTACATTTATAAAGATTCATAAACTACACCTTGTCCCGAAAATGCTGAATCTCCGTGGATAAGTATTCCTAATGTTCTTTTTTTTATTTTAAAAGAAAAAAATAAATAAATATTTTTAATTATTTTATTTTTTAATATTTGTTTATATATAATTCAATATATTTATTTATATTTTATTTTAGATATTTATTTCAAATATGTTTTTGTTATATATATATATACTTGTTTCCGTTTGTGTCATTTTTAAAATCTTAAACTGCGCGTGTACATCCCATAGTTACAGGATTTACAGTTTCTAAATGAGATGGATTCGGTAATATACTCTTTTTTATATTAATATAATTATGTATATGTATATATGATGTTACCATTTTAATTTTCTTTCCATTAGGATATGTTTTAATTGTTGTACATCCTAAATGATATTTTACGTCGCCAGAATTTCCCCATTCTGCTTAATCTAAAGTTTTGTCTCTTATTTCTTAAAATTCTGCAAATATTTATTCTAAATTCTTATCAAATACACAAGCTAATGTACTTAATCTACCTCTATGTGGCATACCTAATATATATATATATATATATATATATATATATATATTTATATATATTTATATATTATTATATATATTTATATATATTTTTATATTTTTTTTTACCTAAAATTATTGATTCAATTCCATTTTCACATGCATGATCAGCTAAACAACTTAAACCTGAAATTACAGAATCACAACCTTCTATTCCGAATCTTTTAGATGTCGTAAATTTATTTTTTAAGAATAAATTAAATTATTCACTTTTACACAAGCGGTCAAATGTTTTTTTCTTATCATTGCTTGATATTTCAGATAAACCTAATTTTTCTATTCTATTTAAGAGCCAAGAACGTTATTCAATATTTTCAATATGAAAAATTTCATATCCAACTTTTCCGCAATATATTTTTTTGCAAATTTCTATAATTTCGTTTATTGTCCATTCGTCTTTTTATTCTAAGAAATACTAAAAAAAATATTATTATATTTAATTTTTTTTTTTTTTTACTGCAATTTATTTTAGCCAAGGACCTTAGACTAATTAGAAAGTTTGCAATCTTTCGCTTTCGGTAAGGTCTTACCCTTAATTTACATCTTAATAAGCTTTTTTTCCGAATTCTTGAAAATTTCCTAATTCTTTTTTTATATATATATATAATATTTTTTAATTTATTTTATTACATAATGGATCAACATCTGCTAGTTAATGTCCTAATACTTAAAAGCTACGAATTATATTAAATGCTTTAAAATGAAGTTAAGATTGCTTTTCTATTATTTAAGGTGATAAAACTGTTGATTATGGATTAGATATTGATTATTCTTATTAAGCCTTTTGGAAATATTTATCCCATGAATCGTGTACTTTGGAAGGATCTTTTAACCATAAATCATACATTTATTCCATATAAATACTATTTCTGGAATTCAAATTTAAGTCTTTTAAAGACTTGGTTTTGAAGAATGTTTATAAAGACTTTACTTGTAGAGATTTTATGCTTTTTATAGATTTATAACAATATAACATATTTATTTTTTGTTAAAACTTTTTATTTTTTTATTTATTTTCCTATATTTTCTATTTTTAATAGAAAACATAAATTAATTTTAAATAATTTTTTTTTAAATAATAATATATAATGTTAAAAAAAACTTATATATAAATATATGTGTTTTTTATTTATGTAAAATTATTTTATTTTAATTTTAATATTTTTTATAATAAAAAATTATAATTATTTATTTTAGTTTAATACTATTATATATAAAATGTTTATTATTTTAATATTTGACAAAAATGAAATTAAAATATTAATTCTAATCTATCTGTTTTCTCATTTTAAGTTAATACTAAATTAGTATTTTAAAAAAAAACTATGACTATTATACTCAAATTATATGAACATTATTGAGGTTTATAAAAAATAAAAAAATATTATCAAATAATCTTCTAACTATTTATTAATTGTTTTTGCAAAAATTTTTTTATTATTCCAAAAATATTATGGTTTTTCATTTCTAAATTTCAATCATAATTAATATCTATAATAAAACGTTATTAATAACCTAAACTAAAAAAAAATCTGATTTGTTTTTGACATAAAATTTTATTATTTAAAAAAAAAAATTAATCAATATTTATTAAAATAATCGAAATTTATCTGTAAAAAATTAATTTAATTAATTAATTCAAATATGCTTTTACTTGTTCAGATTTGATATTTAAAATTTTTTTAAATTAAAAATATGTTTTAAAAAAGTAATTATTATAGCATAATAAAATAAATTAGAAGTAAGTTTAATATTAAATAAAATTATTTAAAAAATCTAAACTATATTAAAATTATTTATATAAATAATAAAGTATTTTATTTGATAATATTAATATATATATATTCTTAAAAAAAATATTTAAACATTATTAAAAATATTTAAATAATAGAAATTATAATAGTCTTAGATTAAGCAATATAATAAATATTAAAATTTTTATAATAAACTAAAATTAAAAATATATATATATATATATATATAAATATAAATATTTATATATTTTAAAAAATTTTTAATTTAACTTAAATGTTTTATTAACATTTATATTTATTTTTTAATAAGTATTTTTTAGTTTATATTTTTTTTTTTCAAGCATTAGATATAATTTATATTAATAATTTATTTAATTTATAATTTTTCAATATATTCTTTTTTTAAAAATATTTCTTATTATAATTTATTTTAATATTTAATTTGCTTTCCTTTAAAAAATATTAATATTTTCTCTAAAATAACACGAATCCTTATATTAAATTTATAACAATATTTTTTTAAAATATATTTTTCTAAAATACTTTAATTTAATTTTTTTTATTATATATTAAGATAATAGATATAATATAACTTATAAAAATTTGTGATCTCAAACAAACATATAATCTTTAATCACATATTATTTTTTAATAGAATTTATAAGATTTATTCACCAAAACCCACTAAATTTTTTTTTTTAAAAAAAAAAATTCAAAATATTAAAATTATACATATTTATTATATATTAATATGAAATAAATAACATTATTTTTAATTTTCATCAATAAAAATTCAATAAGGAAAAAAAATACTTTTATATAATTTTTAATTATTTTACGTTTCTTATCTGTTCTTATGAAATACTTTTAAAATAAAGAGTTTATATTACTTACAATATCAATTATATATATTATATAAAAATAAATTTGAGTATAAAATATATCAAAAATAAATATAATTAAGTGTTTTCAAATTTTTATATAAAAGTCAACTAAAATTAAATTTAACTATATCTAAAATTAATAAAACTTGAAATATTAAAAAGAATATATTAATAAATGTACAAAATAAATAAAAAAAGGAAGTTTTTTTTAATATTTAACTTATATATTTATAAAAAAATTAACAATGTTTTTAAGAATTTACTTCTTCTTTATATTCAAAAGTTTTTTTATGCTAATTTTAATAATAGTTAATTGTTTGATTATTTTTTATTTAGTTTTGACTTGTATTAAATAATAAGTAATAATTCAATTTTTTGTTATAAGATTATTAAATTTAGAGTATGAAGATAATATTTTTTGAATTGTTTATAAAACTTTAATTATTTTTATATTTTAAATTATTTAATTTAAAATATATATTTCTTTAAATTTAAAAGTGATATCTATATTTATTTAATATATTATATAAATATTTTTGTATTCTTTAAGTTGTGAAGATGTTAATTTAAAGCGCTTTTTTATTATTTGAATATAAGATAATTGATTTAATATAAAATATATATTTTAAAAAAAATTCATTTATTTAGATAGAATTTTTTTTTACATATTATTTATTTTAATATATTTGTATAATCAAAATTTTAAAATTTATAAAATTATTTATCAAAAATAATTAAATATTATAAATCATTTATTATAATATTTATAATGTAAATTATATTATATTATATAAAATATAAATGAATATATTTATATATATATATATATGTATTCTTGTATTTGCTATAAATATTCTTAAAAATCATTTATTTATTTTATATTAAAAAAATCATATATATACATGAATTTTATTAATTATAAAAAAGTTTACAAAATATTTCTTAATAAATTACAAAAAAAAAATCATAATTAATTTTTAGCTTAAGGATTAACTTTATTTCTTAGTATTTTCTTTCTATTATATATTATTATTATATTTTTTTATATTTATATGTTTTTTACGTTCTTCCATCATCTCTTTCTTCTCTTTTCATTTTAAATAATTTTTCGTATAATTATGTTGTATTGACCTCTAATTCGTCTCTTGAAATGCTTTTTAACTTTTTCTAATAAATCTTCATCTGTACAATCTAAATTAAAGAACATCTATTTAATTAATTATGAATTATTTTTAATATTTTTATATTATTATAAAAAAAACTCTATATCTTAATAATGAATCTTATGATAATTTTGCAAAATCAGGTAAAAATAATTCTTCAGATTCCATTTACATTTTGTTCATTTTTTTTATTAGTATTATTTTTTATATTTTAATTTTTTTATTTCTTTTTATTTTTTGTAAATTAAATATTTTAATTATATATTTTATAAATAATAACAAAAAATTATATAATAATAAGTTAATTTTTGTTTTTATATTATAAATATAATAAAAAAAGTATATATAATATAATTAAACTGATTAATTTTTATAAATTATATAAAATATCAAATATAAAAAAAAACATGAAAAAAAAGTATAAAAGACTTTAAATAAAATATTAATATTTTTTTAATAAAAACAATAAAATTAATTATTGTTTATGTTCTCTGTTAATATTAATAATAATATTAAAAAAAGTTAGAAAAAAATATATTTATTATAATTAATTAATATATAATAAAATATAAAAAAATTAAAATTATATGTACGAATTTTATATTTTTAATAATAATATATTTATTTTTTATATTAATATAGGATTAAATTACTAAATAATAAGATAATTTTGATAAAAATAAATTTGATTATATTTATATAAATAAATATTTGTATAAATATATATATATATGTATTTAATAAATATTAATTTAATTTAAATATTTTATTTTTTTTATTTTTAAAATTTAAAAATATTTAAATTACATTTAATATATATATTTAATTTTAAAATATAATATATGAAAAAATTGTCAAATATTTACTATAATATTTAAATTATTTAAATGTTTTAATATTTATATTTATATTTATATTTCTAATCTTTTTAATTTTTAATTTTTTTTTAAATTTTATTATAAAAACATAATCTAATAAATATTTTCATTTAAATTGTTTTTTTTTAATTTAATTAATTTTTTTTTTTACTTAAATTATAAAATAAAACAAGATGATATTCAAAAATACTTGAAATATTATTTAATCGATAATTTTTTTTTTTTTTTCTTTTTTGCTTATAAATGAAAGGATATTTTTTTAATAAAAAATATATTTTATATATTTTATATATTTATATATTACAACATATTTATCTTACTTAAATAAAATAAAATTAAAAAGTAAATTTTAAATAAAAGTAAAAAAGTAATTTTTTTATTCATTATTTTCTATTATCGAAAAGTAAAAAATTAAAATATAATTGACTATAAAAAAACAATATCAAAGATTACTATACCTTAAAAACTAATAAGAAATATTTGCCACAGAAACTAAAATAAGTCCAATAACCATAAAATCATCAATCAATCCTAAAGGGCCTAATAATGAAGCAGGTAATAAATTAATAGGTGAAAGTACATATATAATAGATAAAATTAATCTTTTATTAGTTAAAATATTTATAATGATAAAATACATTCCTTTCATAGTATTAAAAATTTATTTTATTCTTTTTAAAAGAAAAGGAACATCTTTAATAATTTCTTAAATCTAAATAAAAATATTATAATTATATTAATTATATAAAAATAAGTATATGTTTTTTAAAAATATATACATTTCTTTTATAATTAGAATGTTTTGCATTATAACTTTTTAATTACTATAATATATTTGTATCTTCACATGTTTTGATATCACAATTTTCGAAATCTCGAAAAAGTAAATTAATATCTCTTCTACAATATGGACATACTATTTTTTATTTTTATTTACTATTCCAATAATTTACAATACAATTTCCTAGATTATGATAAAATAAGATATAAAAAATATATAATATATATATAAATATATATATATAATATTTTATTTAAATTTAAAATGTATTACCACAAAAAAAATGTTAACATTAAGAAAAAACAGGTAAATTAATTTATTATAAACATATGTTACATTCTTCTTTTTCTAAAATCTTTTACTATAATTTTATTTTGCTTATTTAATAGGTACTTGGATGATCCCAATTAAATAATTTGTAGAATTTATGTATTAATTTATTTAATTATTTATTTAATGGATTTATTATAAATGAATTGTTTAAAAATAATTATATATATTTTTAGCATTTTTTTATTAATTTTAGCATTTTTTAATTCTATTATTAATATCTCTTTTATTAGTTTTAACAATGATTTTTTAATTCTTTCCTTCAACTAGTTTGTAAAGAAAAAAAAATAATTAATTAAATAAATTTAAGTATTATTATTATTTTATGTGTGAAACATATGAAGATTATAATATATTATATTATTATTTATTTATTAATTATTTAACAAAATAATAATAAATTAATAATATTATAAAAAAAGAAAATTATAAAATTATATTTGTATTAATATTTTTTTAATTGAATGTATTACTATTAAATTGAAAGAATAAAAAATATTATAATTATTATATATTTATATAAAATAAATATTATTTATGTAATTTTAATTATAGGGATAAGAAAAATATTTTAATATTTGTCTATATAATTTAATTATTATATTTTGTATTAAGAAAAACAAAATAAAAAAATTTCGAATTTTTTTTTTTAAAAAAATATAAAATAAAACTAAAACATTATTTTATATATTTTTTTAAAAATAGAAAAAAGAATTATCATGTTTTTTTATTTTAACAAAAATAAAAGTTAAAATGCTATATAATTATATTATATATTTTTAAAAAACATATATATAACATTAAATGTTTTAATAAAATTATTTTGTTTTAAAATAATTTTGATATAAAATTAAATATATAATATTTTATATTTCTTAATATTTTATATAATTTTAATTTAAAATATTCATAATAAATAAATAATATTTTCATATATGGAAAAATAACAAAAATTAAAAAAAATCAAAATGTAAATAAATACATATAATATTTTAATTTTCATTTAAATTTAAATTTTAATTTTTTTAAAAAATGAATATAATATAAAGTGAAAAAAAATATTATTAATAAATTTATATATATAAATAAATATATTGATTTTATTATATTAATAAATAAATAAATATATATATAAATATATATAAATAAATATATATTTATACATTTATATTTTTAAAAAATAAAATTTAATTTAATTTAAAAAATTATAAAAGTCGTAATTTAATTTTCTATTACATTTATTTTATAACCTGATATTTTTTTATAATTAATAAAAAAAATCCTAAAAGTTATATTTTTTTATATATATTATTTTATATATTTAATATTATCATTATTTTTTAATCTTTAAATTAGTAGTATCAATTCTTGAATACGGTCCAATTTCATTATCGAAAATATATTAAATAGCAACTTTCAAATAACTAGTATGAAAAGGTAAATCTTAATAAAATTCTGGTGCAATCTTTCTTATTTTTGGCAAAGATCTCCAAGGAACCATCGGAAAATCATGATGTTCTGTATGATAACCTAAATTAAGGTTGAAAAAGTTCGATATACCAAAATAATTATATGTTTCTTGTCCTTTCACAAATTCATAATGTTCCGCAATTATATGCATTGCCAAAGGATGTAGTCCGAGTGCAAAAAATCCGCTTAGTAATAGGTATAATAAAGCATAAGGACCAATATAAGTGTAAATAAGATAGTCTGTAGACATAATAAATGCAAAATTTAGAATGTCAGGCATATTAATTCCTTTTGGATTTATATATAGAGGTCTAATTGCATAAAAAAGAATATGAAAAAATAAAAAAAAAATCTTCCTTATTGGAGTATTAAAAGTATTTATTTCCCATTGCTATTTTTTTCAAATTTATATAAATAATATAAATAAATAAATAAATAAATAAATAAATAAATAATATATATATAAATATATATATTAATATATATATTAATATATACATACTGTTGGTAAATCAGCATCTCTTTAAGGATTTCCTTAATCTAAATGATGTTCTCTATGATAATGTGTAAAAGCCATTGCTGATGGAATACATGATGTAATATTTGTTATAAAAGCCATAAAACGGTTTATATTTATATTTTCGAATGCTGTATAATGTGTTAAATCGTGCAATAATGCGAACATTGTATGGTTCAAGGAGGCACCAAATACATAAATTGTTGATAAATAAATTGGCCAAGAAGTATTTTAGATAAAATAGGCAATACAAAGTTAAATAGAAGTTACTATAATTGCTAAATAGGCACTTATTGGATCTTTTTTATACAATTCTTTTATTTAAGGATATTTTTTTAAAATAGCACGACGTCGAACTATATGAGGCTCTTCGTGTGGCATTATATGAAAATAAGATTTGTCTTTGGGAAATGATGTTTCAGAATATATATATTTTCTGTCGATTATTTTGTCTTTTTAATACTCTTATAGTGACTCAAATAATACAGGAATTTAAGGATCTGCTTAATATTATCTTGTCGCTGACATTTATTTGATTTTATTTTTTTAATAATATTTTAGTTTTTAATATATTTTTTTAAATATATATTTATTTGTATATAATTTATTTTATTTTAATTTTTTAAATAAATTTGATGCTAAAAGTAATTTTTATTTGAATAAATTAGAAAAACAATATATCTTTCTTTTTATATTATATTTTCTAAATTATTTAAATAATAATTTATAATATTTTAAATTTACGAAAAATATATTAGTAAAATATTTTTATTTAAAAATAAATAATTATACTAAGATTAATATATATGCTATTAATATAAGAATATCTATGTTTTCTATTTTATTTCTATGGTTAATAAAAATTAAGTTAAACATTTTTTTTTAAACATATATTTTATAATATGTATTATTAGAATGATATATATATTTATAAAAAATTAATTATATTTATATGTATTATTTGTAAATTTATCTTTATATATGTAATAATTTTTTTTATTTTTTTTAAAGAATTATTTATATTTATATTTTAATCATTTTTAAGTCTTAATAAAATAAATATTAAACAAAAAAATTTTTTGAATAAATATATAACTAATACACATAACCATAATATTATTAAATTTTTTAATATTTTATAAAAATTATATATTATAATTACATTAGTTTTGTATTAAAAATAAAAAAAGAAAAAATAAAAAAAATGTAAGCACGTATGACAAAAAGATTATAAAAAGATTTAGAAGCAATATAAAAAAATTATAAAGATTAATTTTAAGTTACATTACCCAAAAATGATCTTCAAATTTGGCATATTGAATTTACAGCCTCCAAAGAAACAGTATTTGCAGATGAAAAATTTAAGTATAAAAATATATATATTTTTAAATATACATTTATAAAATAAAAAAATAGATTATAATTTAAATTTTCACCAGAATATGTATAAGAAATAAAAATAAGATTTTTATTTTTTTAATAAAATGATATATATATATATATATATATATATATATATATATATATATATATTTATATATATATATATATATAAATATATATGTAGCCTATTGAATCTCCTGAAGTAATTTTTATTGGAAAAGTACCAGATCATGAACATATATATTCAAATGGATTTATTTGCTTATCAATATTATATGATGGTATATTTAAATATAAAAAAAATAATATATTTATAAATATATATATATATAATTATATATATATAAATAAATATATATATATATATGTATATATATATATATATATATATAAAGAATGGAGTCCTGCATTAACTGTAGCATCAGTTTGTCTTTCAATTATTTCAATGCTTTCATCAGCATAAAAAAAAGTTTTTTTTTTATATATTATAAAGAAATAATTAATTAAATATTTAATAGGCTAGACCATTTAACGATGCAGAGTTTTGTAAAAGATCTTAAGGGAGAGGTCCAAAAGCCTTTTTATGGAGTTATGATGATACTAAATGTTGAATACAATTAATTTTTTTTATTGATTATTTAAATAAAAATAAAATATATAAATATATATATATATATATATATATATATATTATATAATTATATATATATTATAAATTTTAGTTATTATTTTTACTAATAATTTATTTTATTTTATTTAAATTATATTATGTAAAGTTTATATATATTTTTGCTAATTTTTTATTATACTTCTTTTTCTTATCATCAATTTTTTTTTTAATCTATATATTTTTATTTTTATCAATTTTAAAATAATAATAATTTTTTCTTTTTATAAAAATATAAAATAAAAATAAAAATAGTAAAATATTTTTTTATTATAATAAAGATTTTTAATTTTTCTATATAAAAAAAAATATTTAAATAGTACTTTTTTTTTATTTATACAAATATTTTACAATATATATTTAAAAAAATAAATTATTAAATAAAAGAATTTTTTTAAACTTTCTAATGATATTAATCAAAATTAATTTTATATGTATAATAAATTAAAAAAAACATATTATATATTTAATGAATAATTTTATAATAAAAAAAATAATTTTTTTCCAAAAAAAAAGTAAATTTCCAATATATCTTTATTCTTAATAAATGGATAATTAATTTCCCTTTAAAGTCGATAAAAACGAATTAAAAAATCGTCTTTCTAAAATTTAATTCGATGTTACCTAAAATGCTGCTACAGAATAACCGTTTACAGGTATTTATGATAAACATTTTAATCCAGGATAGTATAATTGTGTGGTTTGTAATATTAAATTATTCAATTATTAAACTAAATATGATTCCGGAAGTGGCTGGCCAGCTTTTAGTCAAGGAGTTGAAGAAAACATATTAGAAAAAATTGATAAAAGTCATGGAATGGTCAGAAAAGAAGTTTTATGCAAAAATTGTGGGGCTCATTTAGGCCATGTTTTTGATGATGGATCTACAAATACTTAACTTAGATATTGTATTAATTCTGCTTCTATTGATTTTTAAAAATAAAATTGATTTTATATATATATATATATTTTTTATAAAAAATTAATAATTTTTAATAAAAAAAAAAAAATATAAATAAAATTAAAGGAAAATATAAAAAATTTATATATATAAAATAAAAAAAAAATGACAAGAGATAAAACATTATCTAATTAATAAAATTATTCAATAGATTTCAAAAAAAACTCTTAATTTAAAAAAAACATAAGTCTAATTAAAGCTTAAAATATCAAAAAAGTTCAAAAAATACGAAAAACTTAAAACTAGGATGAATTATAAAAATAAATATTGGTAAAAAAGAAGAAGATATAAAAAAAAAAATATAAAATCTAAGAAAACTTAAGTCATTCTTCATCAACTATATAAACAAATTAAAAATAAAAAATAAATGTAAATAAAAATATAAATACAAAAAAAATTATAAATATATAAATATATAAATATATATATATATATATTTATATATATTTATATAAATATTTAGATTAAATAAATATAGAATCCTAAATATTATATAAATTAAAAATGGGATATTATTCCTGAAAAAGATTATAATATTTTTGGTGATATTTTAATTGAAACTGACTTTGTTTCTGAAAAGAAATACTCATCATAAAATTATTGGAAACCACCAATGAATGTTTGTGTAGACTTTCAAGGAATTATTAAAATGGATATTGGTAGTTTTGGGAAGACTAAGAAACATTTTTAAATTATTTGGAATTTTATGAAACTATGTAAACATGAAGAAATTTTGGAGTTTTCGAATAAATTGGAAGAATGGTATACTTTTTCAAAGCAAATTTAACTAACTTATATGGAAAAAAATCTCCCTTTTTATTCTGATTAGTTTTAATAGTTTAATTTAAAAGCTGATTAATATATTTATTAGCTCAATTAAGGTAATAAAATGTTCATTTTTTCCAAAAAAAATACAATTTCGAAAACTAGAATATAGAAGAATATGAATTTGGATTTAATTAAGAACTTTTGGCACTTTTGGGACTTGAAAAAGACTAAATAGGGTCAATAATTATGAGATAGGGCAGATTTAATATTTTCGATATAAAAAGTAGGTTTAAAATAACATAATAATTGTTAAATAATTATTTATAAGTGGATTAGAATATTAATTAGGAATAAACATAATTATAAAATGTTAATATTATATCTTAAGATGGTTTTAAAATTCCAGCTAAAGCTGTTTCTAAGTGTTTTAGTCTAAATTTTTTATAAAAATAAGAGTTATTAACTCCAGATTATTTATTTTTATTATAAATTATCGAAATAGATGTAGAAATTCAAAGTTTAGAAGAAATTGTTAGTTTGAGAGAGTTTAATAATGAAATAATGTTTAAATTTAAAGATTTAAAAGATTATTTATATTATTATGAATGCGAAAAATTTGCCTTTATAAAAAAAATTTTATTAATCTTGAATTTTTTGTGATATTTTTTAATTTTAATATAGAGTATATATATATATATTTATATAGAAATTAATATATATATATATATTTATTTTTTACATATATTAAAGTATATTTATTTTATAATTTATTTGTTTTTTTTATTATAAATATGAAAAATATAATTTTTTTTTTATAATATTATATTTTTAAATTTATTTTTTTATAAATTTTTTGTTTTTTATAAAATTCATTTTTTTTTATTTTTATTTTTTTAATAATTTATAATTTTTTTACTTTTTTTTAAAATTATTTATTTATAAAATCTTTTTTTTTTTTTTTATTAATATTTTAAAATAATATCTATATATTATTTAATTTATATTATTATAAATAAATTTCAATTAAATTAATTATATCTTTAAAAATTAATATATAAATTTATTTTTTATATAAAAAATTAATTTCATAATCCCTTATTAATTTGTAATGATGTTAATTTATTTCGATGTATTATTTTTAAAATAAAAATATATAAAAAAAAAAAATTATTCATTTTTTCTTGACTTCTTTTTATTGATTAAGTTTTAAAAAAAAATACAGAAAAAATAAAATAATCGCTTTAATATTAATACATATATATATATTTTAATATATTTATATATTCATTTAATAAAAATAACATTTTAATTATTTAATATTATCAAATGCTTTTAATTAATAAATCATTATTAGTTTTCATATTTTTAATAATCTTTGATTTTATATAATCTTCCCAAATAAACTAATTAATACATCGACTAACATTTAAATCATCTAAATATCGTTAAAAATTCAATTAATAAAGTAAAAAAAAAAAAAAAAACTCTAAAAAATATAAAATATTAATGTTTTAAAAATAGATTAACCTATCGAATTAATAAATGCCTTTTTTGGAAACATTAAATATAATATAAAATAAAATATTGGAATAATGCTTTCTTCAAACAAAGATTATGATTTATGCCAAATCTTCGATTTAGATGAAAAGAAGCAATAATTATAATAAATATATAATTTAGATATGTACATATACATAAAAATATCATACAATTGTCCTTTTGGATCTTAAGCGTTTAATGCTTATTAAATGGGGGCAAAAGGAATTATATATTATGATCCTAAAAATACATATAAAAATAAACCTTTTTCATAATCCTATAGTATATATAATTAAATTATTTTATTTATTTATCTATATATATACATATATTTTATATATATATATATAAATAAATAGATGAAAATAATTAAATAATTGCTCTTTTAATGAAAGATGATTAAGAAGGTAATAATTTATTTGAATTATTAAAGGAAGATTAATAAAAATAGTAGGATTTTTATATTTTAGCTAATATTTAATTTGCGAAACCTTTTACTAAAGAATACCCAGAAATAAATTACTTTTTCTAATCTACATAGAAAAGTAGTTATGATTTAATCGAAAAAATAATAGATTTTATTGAATTATTTGATTAGAAAGAAAAAATTTAATTTAATCCTATACCTGTTATTTATAATAGCAAAAAAATAGTATCTTTATGTCAAAAAAATGAGGCTTAATGTGATAGAGTTAATGAAGAAGATATTATTAAATATGATTGTTTTTCAAAAGGAAAATATTGTGTAGCTCATAATGATGTTTAATATTTTCGTAATAAAAAAAAATTATATAAATAATAAACATATATAATAAATTAGCACATGATATTCTTTTAATTGAACTTAGATAATATTTAATTTCTTAATAGTCTTTTTAGATGTGGAAGATATATATAAAAAAATTTTATAAGAAATGTATAGAGATGAATAAGGAAGAATAATAGTAGAAAGATAGTTTGATTAATTGTAGTGATGAGATTTTGAAAGATTTTCCTTCTTTTAAAAGCAAAATCGAAAAAATTGAAAATAACTCATGGGTTTCTTTAGATAATGATAATAATAAAGAAAATACTGTATTTTAGAAAATATAAGAAAAGGTTTAAGATTTTGATATTTTAGAATGGCCTAAATTAAGTGTTAATGGATTAATTATATAAGATTATCATATTAATGTCTGGGATCATTTAGTATCGATTTTATGTTCAAGTTTTGAAAATTAATCATTAAAATGTTTATAGTATTTAGCACATGGTTCTATTTAGGAAAATTAATAAGATGACAAAGGGGATAATTTTAATAATCTTTATTCAGGAAAAATAATTAAAAGTAATAATAATAAAAAAGTCAAAAAAGAAATTATTATTGTATTAAGTGTGGCATTAGGAATTATTTTAGGGGTAATTGGTTTCCTTATCTTTAGAAGATATCATATTAAAAAATTAAATATATTGGTTAATAATAGGGTAAGAAATGCAGTAAATAAGTATTAAAAATTTAATGAAGAAAATGATTCTAATAATTAAAAAGATTGAAAATATTATTTCTATATATTATTAGTATTTTTTTTTCTATATATACATTAAAATCATATAAAATCAATTTTTTATTTAAAATCATTATTAAAATAAAATAAAATAAAATATGGATATATTAAGCAAAATGTTAATAAATTATAATAGTTTTTATATTTTTTTAAAAAGCTAAAATTAAATATTATTTTTTCTAATCAAAAGAAGAATAATTATATAAAATTAATAACATTTATATAAAAAAAAAATATATATATATAAAACCTTTTTTTTTTTATTTATTTATATAGAAAATTAATATATATATATTATTATAATTAATAAATAAAAAAATCCAAAAAAAAAAAAAAAAAAGAATAAAAAAAAAAAAAATGAATAAAAGAATGGAAAAAGAATTTGCTGATTTAACAGCAAATGCGCCTCAAGGTATAAAAGTAGAAAAATCTAATGAAAATAATAAATGGATTTTTCATGTTGAAGGACCTTAAGATTCCGTTTATGCAGGCGCTAACTTTAAAATATCATGCACATTCCCTGAAAATTATCCTTTTAAAATGCCCGAATTTAAATTTGATACATTGATTTGGCATCCTAATGTATTAGAAAATGGAGAAGTATGCAAAGAAATGCTTGGAGAAAAAGAATGGGTACCCACTAAACAAATTAAAGGAGTAATTGAAATTCTTGTCAATATGCTTGCTTAACCTAATCTCGATTCGGCTATTAATAATGAAGCTTTAAAATAATTCAAAGAAGATCCTGATACTTTCAAAAAAACTGCTTAATAATGGGTTGCTAAACATTGTCATTGAAATTGATTATAAAAAAAAAATATGAAATAAGAAAAAAATAAAAAAATATATATATATATATATATAATTTAGCTTATTTATTAATATAAATATATATATATAAAATATAAATTTAAACGGAAATAAATAAATATATATTTTTTTTTTCTTATATGTTCTTCTTAATTTATTTCATTATATTTACATATTAAAATCTATTTTTATGTATATATTTTTTTATTTATTTTATAATGTTTTTTTTATTTTTTTATTATTTTTTTAATAATTATTACATATATATATTTTTTCTTTAATTAGAAAAGAATATATTAACTTGATTTAAATAATTAAGAATATTTTTTTATAAATAAATTAATATATAAAGAAATAAAATTATTTTAATATAAACTTTGATAAATATATTAAACAAAAAATATCAATTTATAAAAATAATATTATTTTAGGTTTTAATATAAGTATATATAATTCAAATATATATTAAAAACTTATATATATTCATACGAATATAATTATATGAAAGAACTATAATAAATTTTAAAATAAATTTATTAATAATATATGTGTGATAATAAAATTGATTTTTTAAAAAATACTATATAAATTTATTATTATTTATTAAGTTATTTATATATTTAATATAATCTTACATTTTAAATATATTTTTTAACTAGATTTTTTTTTTAAATACGTATAAATATTTATATTCTATTAAATATAACTTTAATCCATATAATTTATAATGTAAATGTATATTTATATTAAAATTAAAAATTTTTTTTTATTTTAAAAAAATAAATTGAAATTATATCAATATTAAGATATTAATTAAAATTCAATACAATAAAATTAAGATTTTTTCATATAAAAAATATTTATAAAAAAATAAAAAAATTCAATATTTTATATAATAAATAAAAAAATAAAATATAAATATATAAATTATTTTTTTTATTATATATTATTGTAAATTTATAATAAAATAAAAATATTTTAAATTAATTATTTAGAAAATTTTATATATGAAGGAATAATTTATAAAATAAAAAAATTATTAAAGATAAAAAGATGAAAAAATTGCTAATATATAATAGAATCATTAATTTTAATTATTAAATATAATAAATAAATTTAATTTTAAATTATTAAATACTTTGATTTAATTTAATATTAAAAATAAAAAAATATAAAGAATTTTAGAAAAAAATAGTATTTATATATAAAATAATACTATTAATTTTTATTTTTATATTCAAATATATTATTTAACAAGTTCATATTAAATAATATGCTATTAAAATTTATTTTATCATAATTTAAAAAAATATTTTTTTTTTAGATATTATAAATAAATATTAAAGTCTGAAAATAATTATTAATATATTTAAATAATCAAAAATTCAAGTTTTTAATATATAGAATTTTTTTTTTATTTATATATTTATAAATTAATTTGGATATGTAAAAAAGTATAATAATAATTAAATAAGAATAATAATCAATTTTTTTAAATTTATATGTTTTATATTTTAATGAAAATATTTATAAACATAATATTTATTATATAAAATTGTTTTAATATTAAATATAAAATCAAATTAATTTTAAATTATAAATTTGTGTAAGAAGAATTAATAAAATTATTAATTTAAGAATAATATATATATATATATATATATATATATATATATATAAATACATATATATATATATATACGTATAAAAAAAATAAAAGAAAAAAATGTAAAAAAACCTTTAAAAAATTCTTTAAGAAAATTCAAAAGATTTATACATTCTAAACCGTTTATTAAGACAAGAAACCGTTTTCATATAAGAACTAAATAAAGGAAATCAACAAATAATTGAATTTTTTGACGAAAACCCTTTAGCGATTCAATAATTAATATCCTACATAACTACTGAATATCCTGATTTTAAGAATTTTAATAGAGTATATAAATATCCAAGTGTTTCGAATGAAATATTTTAATCAAAATGTGAAGTCATTACAAAATAGTTTTTCTAAGAAAAAAATTGTTAGGTTTTTTTTGCATAGTTATTTACTTTTTTATTAAAATATAATGATTTGAATGATGTTTTGGCAGGTTTTTGGTATAATTTAATGTAATAATTATTAACTTTTAATCCAGAATTTGTTATTTAATATGCTTTTTAAAGTAGAGGGGTATTAAATAGTTTATTTAGACATATTTAGAATGATTCTATATGTAATTTATTTATAATTTTTGTTAAATATATATATAAAAAAAAGATAATTTTATTGAAGAGATATTTTGTATTGAAAAATAAAAATTAAGCTTATAAAATGAAAATTAATTTTAGTAAATTAAATTTGAAAAAATTTAAGAATATCTATAAAAATTTATGTTTTTGGAAATTTATTAATAATAAAATTTCAGTAAACTTTTAGTTAAAATAATCGAAAAGTAATATTTTGTATACTCAGGATGTATTTTTTTTAAATTTCTTAATTAAAAAGAAAACTAAGAAATGCTATTTGAAGGACTATTATAGACATAAAAAGCCGAAACAAGTATAAATTGTGGCAAAATAATCGAAGAAATGTTATAATAATATGCTTTCAATAGTATTTAATCAATGAAAAATAAAGAATATTAATTACAATAAGAAAATAATAAAGAATATTGTTTTTAATAATAAGATAATTTAGTAATAATGATAAAACTAGTAGAAAATATGGAAAAAATAGGTGTTTTTTTACAAAAAAAACAGTTGAAAAATACATAAAAAATTTAGGTTTTAAAAATATTAAAAAATGCTATTTTGACTGATTTTTAAAGTGTTTTAGAGGAAATTAAAAAGAAGAAAATTCTTGAAATTTTATGGAATTTGATTGAAAAAAACTAATAAAATACTATTTTATTGCAAGAAATATTGGATATTTTTAAATGCGTTTTATTTAAAAAAAAATTTTTAAGAAAATATTTTATAAGAAATTTTTTTGCATGAAAAAATTTTAGAAAAATAAAACTAAAAAAATTATTGTTAATGGATTATTATAGCTCTTTCCAAACTTTTAAATGATTATTTTGATATTTTAAAGGATAATTTGGAATGGAAAAATTATTTTGAAAAGATTATAGAGGGTTAATTAGAAAAATAGTGCAGAAATTTAGGAGATTTTAATTAGTTTTTGGAAAATCCGGAAAAAACTTAAGCATTTATAGTCAAAAAAATTCAAAAGGATGCTGATTTTGATATTTATCCTTATTCAATGTTTGAAGATGAGGTTGAATTTATCGAAAAAATAAGAAAAAGTTATAGTTAAGTTATAGAATAGTAGAAATATTTCGAAGAAAAGAAAAAAAAATTAATTTTTTGACACCTTGTAAAAAAGAAGATAAAAAGAAAACAAAAAAAATACGAAGAAATAGTATGTCAGTAATTTTTTAGTTAGAATAAAAAATACCAAAGAAACAAAACTCATTTTAAGAATAAGTATTAAAAATTTGAATTATAATATATATAAATATATATATATATAATTTATTTACATACATATATTTGTATTTTAGCCTATTTTAAGGTTTTAAATGTATTTTTATTTAAAATAATACTTATATTTTATATATATAATAATAATTCATTCTAATTAAATAAAAGCTAATTTAGGCTTATGATAATAACATTTTAAAATTATTTTAAATTATGCTTTCTTTTGTTTTAATAATTTCTAATTTTATTTTAGTAAATATATTATTGTTTTATATATATTTTAATTTTTTACTAATATTTTTGCTTATTCAGTATTTATTGCTTTTCCTTTTTAACATAAAATAAAATCAGTTTGAATTTATAGTTCTCCTTTATTTAACATTACATCAATACCCAATTATCTTAAATAATTATCCATCGAATGTGAAAAAGTTTTAAATACATCACTATCTTTTTATAATATGATTGTCTCATCTGCTATTGTTCCGGCTTTGGCATATTCTAGGCATTCATATTCATTAAAATATCTTGATATTTATATAAGTATTTATGTATTATATAATTTTTACTATTAAACTTCATTAAGAGATTTACTAGTGAATAAAAGACCACAATCTCCTTTTATTTATTAAGATAATTTATGCAAATTTTCTTTTTATTCATTTTATTAATCTCTACCTAAAATAACTTACATTACTTTATTTTTTCCTAAGAAAAATCTATAGTTTTTTTTTAAATAAATTCATAAATATGTATATATATATTTATATATTACTTTGAATCATTCCATTCTTATTATATTTGTCTAAAAGGTATAGTTGTCATGTTTTAATGAGAAAAAAGAAATATATTATCGTATTTTTCGATACATTCATTTAGTTTACTACTTATCTTTTATTTATGACCAATAGGATTTTTTTTTGTTTTAGTTAATGAAATGACTTTATTTCTTTTTGATTTTGGCATTTTTTTTATTTTTTTATTTTCTATTATCTTTTGTTAATTTGTATTTTTTTTAATTTAATCCTAATTTTTTTATTATTATTATTAATTACATATTTTTTTATTAACAAAAAATATAAATAAGCTCTAGTTTTATTTAAATATATTTATATATATAAATATTTGATTTCAAAAAGAAATCAATATATGTATGTTAGCTTTCTTTTTTGTAGTTCTTATATATATTTTAGATATTGTTTTATTATTTATATATTCAAAAATTATAAAATTATATTTTAAAAATTAAATATTGGACTATTTTTATATAATAAAAGTTTTAATATTTATACACATAAAATTTATATAGTTAAGAAGTAGTATAAAAATAAAAATAAAATATGACTATAAATTTTAATATCCAAACTGCATATAATATTTTAAATTTTTTAACAAATTTAAATATTTAGAAAATTATTTTGATAATATTTATAAATATGAACTATATCAATTAATTTTTATTTAATTTTATGTAATATCTAAAGTTATATTTATATTTAAAAATTTTTAAATTAATACAAAAAGTATTATTTACTTGCAAAAAAACATATTAAAAAGAAGAAAAAAAAATATTACAAACTTAATTATATATAAATATATATATATATATTAATATATAAAATAATTTTTTATATTAAATAAAATAAAAAAAAACAAATATATTAAATAACTAATTTTTTTTTTTTTTAATTATTTATTTATTAATATTATATTTTTTATTTAATAAAATATTTTTTTTATGATTTTAATTCTTTTTTAATTTATTGTGTATTAATTATAATAATTAACTAATAAATAAAATTTCAATAATTTTTACAAATTAGTTTATACTAATTTGATAACAATCTTTTATAATATATAATATTCTGTATATTATATGTATGCTAATTTTAATACTATTTTTTTTTTTGTTATTTAGTAAAAAATACTCATAATATTTATATAAATTACTTTATTCTTAAATTCTAAAAATATACAATATCTTAACATTTTTATTTATAAATTAATTTTATAAAATTTAATTATTTATAATATTATTAAGTTTCTATTGTGTGAATTTAAAAAGAAAGTAATTTAGACATTATTTATTTTGACTATTTTTACTCATTATTATATTTAAAAATATATTTTTTATTTATATCTAAAATAAAAAATTATATTTTAAAACTTAAATATGGTAATCAAAAAAAATAAAAAAAAAGTAAAGTTTACAATATCACAATAAATATAAACATAAATAATAAAAAAAATATTGTTTAAATTTGCATTATAAATGAAAATTCTAGAAATATAATATGTGTAACAATTTAGTTATATATATATATATACATATGTAAAAAATAAAATATATATATATATATATATATATATATATATAAATATATATATATTTATAATAATTTTTTTATTAATTAATTATTTTTATTCATAAATTAACAATCCAAAAAATTAAATTATAAATAATGGGAAATTAACTAGAATATAATTAATAAAGTTAAAATTAAAATGATAATTTAGTAGGGATTTCTTCATAATTAGTTACTACATCTCTATAATAATCTAATATATAAATGGAAAATTTGGAATTTTTATTAAGTAAAGATGTTGATGAATGTTATGGAGAAATAAAAATTTATAAATTAAAATAATAAATATAGCAAATAGAATAATAAATAGAAGGAGATTTTTATTATTGTATGAAAACTAAGCTTTTTAATTCAAAATAAGAGTGCAAAGAATACTAAAATAACATTTTAAAATAAAAAATATAAATAAATCACCCAGGTATAGCAAAACTAGTAAAAACTAGAGTAATTTATGGATAAAATATGTGTTCAAATTTATATAAAGTAAATTATTTTTATGAATATTTCCCTAATAATTTAAAAACTGAAATTTTAATAAGAATAAAAAAATAAGAAGATTTCTAATTAAATGTAAACATATATATATTTGAAAATACATAAAATAAATATAAATTAATATATATATATAAATATATATATATATATATATATATATATATATATATATATATATATAGGAAATAAATAATCTTATAGAATCTATATTATAAAGTTTAATATATTTAAAAAATATAGGAATAATACACAATGATATATAACCTAAGACTATATTATTTAATATTTAAGGACATTTTAAACTTACTGATATTTTTTTTTTAACAGGTGGTTTATGTGGATTTCGTAAATATGCGTTAGGTTTGGAAAGAGAGTGTTTTTTGGCACCGGAGTTATTATAAAAATAAGATTATTAATTAGAATAAAATAATGATAAAAATTGTATTTTTTCATTAGGTCTTATTGCATTGTCTATGGGATGCCTTTCTAATTTGGAAAATCTGTATAATTTAGAGAAAAGAATTGTAAATGAATAAGTTTTGGGGAATTTATTGGAAATTGTAAGAAAAAAATATGGAAAAGGACTCTATTTTTTACTTTTAGGAATGTTAAATATAAATTAAGAAAATAGATTAGATTTTGAAAAATGTTTAGTATTATAAGAAAAGATATGTGTTAAAAATGATTAATTATATTTATTTGAAAAAATAGTTAGTAAAAATAATAATAATACTACTAATTCATCACTCTAAGATAAGAAAAATATAGTTGATTTATTCGAAAAAAGTAGATAATATTGGAATATAAAAGAAAACAATATAATAATAATAATAATAATAATAATAATAATAATAATAATAATAATAATAATAATAAGATGAAGAAAGTATAAAAAAATAAAAAAGAGATGAATCTTTCTAATCAAAAAATAAAAACTAATATTAATAAAAATATATAGAAAATGATTATGAAGAGATGTCTAGCAATAAAAATAATCAAACTGAATTTGATAAAAGTGAAAGTGATAAAATAAAAAGTATGAATTCAAGTATAAGTGATGATGAATCAAATAGTTTTTTAAATGAATAAGAAAAAAATAAATAAGATTAATTAAAATTATAAGAAAAATAATAAGAAGAAGAAAAAAAAGAAAAAGAAGAAAAGTATATAAATTAAAAATATATTTAAAAAAAAAATTATAATATAATAAAATAATAATAAAAAATATAAATGTAACATATTATTAATCGATTATAAATAAAATATAGTAAATAAATAAATAAAGATGCGCATATATATAAAATTTATATATATATATATATATATTTATATATATATATATATATATATATATATATTTATATTATATATATATATATATACTTTTATTTAGGAATAAAATAATTAATCTATTATAATCTAATAATAATGCAAATTTATAAAATGCAACTAGTTATTCAAAAGTAAAATTATTTAATAATAATTTTTTAGATCAGGAAATTTATGTACCTTTTAATTAAGATACAATTTAAAAATATATTGTGTAAAAATAATAATAAAATATTAAATAAGTAAATACTAGTATTAATTCATTAGCTAATTCTAATAAATCTTAAGTATAAAAAAATAATAATTTTAATAATAATAATAATAATATTTATACAAAATATTTTAAAAATTATAAATGACTTATTTACTTTTATGTTTATATGCATAATAAATATTTTATTATATTTATTAAATAATTTTATTTTGTATTTTTGTTATATTTGTACTGTATTTTTTTTAATATTATAATCTCATATAAAAAATATCTAAAATTATATCTTATATATTTTATAGACTTTATAAATAAAAATTTTTAAAATACAAATAAAAATGTATAAACAATAATTTTATTTAATAAAAATATTATTATTATTATTTAAATTTAATTTTTTTTTAATTTATTATTTATATGCAATTTGTATATTTTTCATATTTTTAAAATATAATAATATATTATCATTTTTATTAAGAAATATTTTCAATTTTTCTCGACGTAGATTTATTATGTGAATTATCTATATTAGATATTTCATCTTGACTAATTTCTTCAGAAATATCATTCGAATCTTCTACACTATTGTTTACTTCTTCAGTTTTATTATTTACTTTATTACCAATATCTAAGTTTTCAGGTATTTTATTATTATTTTAGGTAGAATTTCTTTTTTATTCTAACATACTAATAATTTTGCATGATAAAAGTGCTATAAGTAGTATTAATATTAACAAAAATAGACCTAAATAGGCTTTAAAAATATTTGTTTAGTAAAAAAGCTTAATATTCTGAATTTTAGGATTAGCAAAGCCTATTCTATTTTATTCATTATCAAAAATAGTATAGTATTTTTTTAATAAAATACTTCCTATTTAAATAATATTCTCATTTTCACTTTAAGATGGATATATTTTTAAATAAACATGGTTTTAGGCTATATTATATATATTGTATTATATATAGTCTTCAGGTTATATTTTAAAAAACTTAGTTTCTTTTTTTCCTAGTTTTAACCAAAAAGTAGGGTATTTTTAGATGCTCTTTTCATTACAAATTATGCTTTTTTGATTTTTAAATTAACAGTCTAGTTAAAAATCTTTATTGAAAATTTAAATCAATAAAGGAATATCTTCTTTTGGGAAAATTATGTTTTATTCGTTTATGTTTAAAAGGATGTTTTAGCCTTTAAAATTTTTTAAAAATTATATTTAGTCTAAATATTAAAGTTTATATTCGGAAATTTCTATTTGCCATTTCTCAATTTTAGGCTGGAGTTATATATAATGAATATCGCCGAGGATATTTTCAGGCTAAAAGCCACCTAGAGTAAGAAAATTCTAATCTTCGCAATTATTTCCGTTGCTTATATATATGGAGAATATATTGTTGCTTATTATACCTTTTTTTTACATTAAATTTAATATGTTTTAATCTTATTATATATTCTGTCTTCCTAAACCTTATATTTTTTATAATTATTAATATAAGTATATAATTAATTATATATATACCTAATATTCCTTATGTTTACATTTAATTTTAAGATTCTATTTAATTTATTAACATAAATTTATATAAAATTGATTCATCATTATTATTTTCATTAAAATATATTTAATCTTATATAAATTTGCCTGTTATTTTAATTTAATCGTATTATATTTATTATTAATCGTTCTAATCTTAAAAAAAACACCCTTCTTTTTTAGAACAGTCATATTTTTTCCAAAGGTTTATATCTTTACAATTTTTACAATTTATATCAGGAATGCAGGTAGTTGAAAAAACAGTGTTTATTTATAAATTAAAAGGCTGTTTTTATTTTCCGAAAAATAATTATGTATTATAAAAAGTATCTTAAAAATTATTTATTTTTAATGTTATTTTCTTGTTATGTTAAGTGTATATTAAACATAATAATGATAATAATATTAAGTATTTAATCATTTATTTTTTTGTAAATAATATATAACAATTATTTTATTTAAAGTAAAAAATAGTAATATAAATATTTTAAAAAAAAAATAATAAAATAATATATAAATATATATTTATATATATTTATATAAATTTATTATTTAACATATATATTCAAAACTAGAAAAATTTTTATTTAATCTTTTTTTTTATTTTGAAATTATAAAAAATAGAAAAATAGTTATTAATTAAATTATTGTCATAATAAAAATATAATTTTTTTTATAAAATGCATATTTAAAATAATATATATTATTTTAAAAATAAAAATACAATATTTATTTGTAAACAATTTAAATATAAATAATAATACTATAATTATATATAAAATAAATACAAATTATATGCATATACATTATATAATTTTTTTTATATATTTATTTAAGTTTATATTTTTTTTTATTATTATTAATTTTCATTTATTATATAATATTCAAAATGGCATATATAAATATATATATAAAGTATAAAAAATATAGATTATAATGTCTTATTTAATAATTAAAGATATAAATAATAAATACAAAAATATAAATTGATATCAAGCTTTAATAATATCCTAAAGTTAAATTTCATTTTTTTTTTACTCCTTATGATATTGATCTAAAATTATATTCCTAGTGTCATGATTTATTGTAAAAGCGGCTATAGCACTAATTGCACTCACAATTCCGAATGCTAAAAATGGTCCATTTTCTCCAAAAATAAAAAACTCAAAGGAAATCCAAGGCATAAGAATACCTCCAAATCTACTCATTCCACTATTCAAGCCTAAGCCAGTTGTCCTTACTGCAGTCTCATATACTTCAGATGTGAAAGGATATATAGTACAGAAATTATAATTAATACTAAACTTAACTATTCCAACTAAAAAGAAGTACATGAAATTTATATTTTTTTCAAATATATATATATAAAAACAGACTATAGTGCATACAAAATAACCATAAATCATACTATTTTTCCTTCCAAAAGCAGGCTTATCTATAGTAAAATAAACTAAAATATTAGACGGTAATTCTGCAAAGCAACATAGGAAAATACCCATGAAATCAAATTATTTATTTTCGTATTCGAAATCATCTTCAGACATATTTTTGTTTCTAATATTCATAATAATAAAAGGAAAAGTCATTGTAATGCCATAATACACAAAACTTAAACTAAACCACATAACTATTAGTTTAAATGTTAGATTTTAATACTCTTTTTTGAAAAGCTGCTTAATACTACCTATTTTATGCTTTTGCCTTTAATATGAAGCCTCACTCCAGATTAATAATTACTGCTTTTCATGATCAGTGAGTGGTTAAAAGCCTTGATTGTGGTTTATTTTTCCCATATAGTTTAGATTTATGAAAACTCGGGATAGATTTTGTAGGGTACAACATAGTTAATATCTTGGTGATTCTATTAGGTATTTTAATCCTAATAATAGAGATATTAAAGCTGGGATGCTACTTAGGAAAAGAAGTGTACGCCAGTTACCTTCGTTAAAGTTTTTTAGTAAAATCATAGCGAGGAAGATTACTAGAATCTCGCCGAGGGTAAACACGTTGCTTAGATGAACGAAGAATTTAGCGCGCTTGCTTTATGGAACGATTTCGGTTGAGTAACAAGAGGTTAAAGGACATACTAGGCCGTTCGAAAAACCAAATAAACATCTAAGGATTATAAATTAGATATAATCTTGGCTAAATGCGGATAAAAATCCGGTTATAAATTATAAACAACAGGCCCAAATCATAGTTTTGCGGCGGCCATATACATCGGACATTTTACCACAGGCTAAAGCTATAATATTATTTATATTTAAAAAAAAAATTAATTTTTTTTACATCCAAAACACCAACCGAAAAATATTATAGAATAAGCTGTTTATACTTATGCGTCGGATAAATCCCATTAATATTTTATTATTGGAAGGACAAATGATACTACTACGGCTTCTGCACCTTCATAAAGTTAGGCAAAATAAAAGCAACTTGATATTAAATATTAGGCTTTGCCTTGGCCTATTCTATTTTCTAATATCTCGTCAAATAATGAATAATTATGCATATCAAAAAACGATTCATTCATTATTTAATCCATTTTTATTCACTTTTTTTTATATATATAATAAATATTTTTTTTTATTAATATTTTTTGTATAAAATTATTTAATCTTTATATATTTTTTAAATATAATATATATAAATTATAATATATTAGTTTATTATAAAAAATTTAATTAATAAAAAATAAAATTGTTTTTTTGATTATAATTTCGATATACGTAAAAAAATAATTTATTTAATGAATTTAAATATATAAAAGATTAAAAATTTTCTGTTAATTATAAAAATTCATATATTAATTAAATAAATTGAAATATATATAAAGAATAATTATAGTATAATTTTTAAATTTAATTAAAAAAAATTATAAATATAAAAATAATATTTATTATAAAAAAATAAATAAAATAATTAAAATTCATTGTTTTAATAATGCATAAATAATTAAAAATAACATAGAATATATATAGGTATATATATAAAATATATTATATATTTATATATATATATATTTTTATTATAATTATTTTTGTATTTTATAAGTTTGATGATTATATACATTTTTTTTAATTTTAATTTTTTTATATTTTATAAAAAAATTATAAATAAAATTAAAATATAATCAAAAAATTTATTTATACTTTAAATTTTGTCAATATAAATAAATATTATTTAAAAAATAATGAAGCAATTATTATTAGTATTATTTATTATAATATCATTAATAAAAAGTGATAATAGTATTTGTATATCAAAAACATTTAAATTAAGTAATTTTTTTATAACATACTAAATAAACGATTAAAGCATTGATTTTAATTTAATCGGCATAAATAATGGATATATAGGAATAGGTTTTGGTAGTTCTAATATGGAAAATCTTGATATAGTATCAGCCAGTGAAGATCTTGATGGAAACATATAAATAAAAGACATGTGGTCTAGTTTAAAATTTCCAAGAAACAGTATAATTGAAGATACAAATTAATCTTTTTTAACTTAACCAAATGGATTTTTTGATGAGAATAGCTTTGAATGGAAAGTTAATTTCAGTAGATTATTAGATACAGGAGATAGTTAGGATACTGTTATTGTTTTAGATTAGGAAATTGATGTTGTTTTTGCTTAGGGTGATGTCCTAAGATTTAATTAAGCACATAGTAAAACGCCGGTAAAAACAAAAATAATTTTTAGTTGTGGAAGTTTTAGTTTTTTATTATTTTTTGGGTATTTTTTGTTTTTTTTGATTGCGATTTTAGTTTTTTGATGATTACTTTTTTATAATATATAAATATAAAATTAATGCAACTTTTTATATAAATTCTTGTATTTTTTATATATAAAAATGTGTTTTATATATATATATATATTTTTTTTACATTTTTTTTATTTATTTATATTTTTTTTATTTTTTTCTATTTAAATATATTTATTTAAAAGTAATTTATTTTATTTTTCAATTAAAAATAAATTCTATTAAATTATTAACCTTTTTTTAATTTTAAAACTAATTATTTATTATATTTTTACATTCTTTTAATTTTCTGTAAAAATTAAAAATGAAGTATTTATTTCTTCTAATATTTCATTATTTTTATTTAAAAGTTCTCCAATTTAATTGTATTCTAATTTTCCGAAAATCTTAATAAAATCAACTTCTTCTTAAATTTTTTAAATTTTAAGAAAAGAATATATACCATCATTATTAACTTCAAAATATTTTTACTTTATTAAATATATAAATATATATATAAATATAATAATATATATATATAATAATTATATATATAAAATATAAATTAACTATATTTTATAGATTATATTCAAATTAAAATTATTCTGTAAATTTATTTATATTATCCCAAGTCATTTACTAAAGTACTCTTATATCCATAACTTATAATCCATATTATTAAATTATTTAAATAAGTTTTAGAATTTAAAAAGTTTAATCTGTTCTTGATATTAAAATAATAAAATTTTTAATTTTATTATAATTAATTTAATGTATTCATTTTTTCATTAAAATATTTGATATTTTAAATTAAAGAAATTTCTTTTTCAAAACATTAGAAATTATTACTACTATAAATGCCTTATTAAATTTAAAAAGATTGAAAATTAGTACTATTTAATTCGAAATTTTCTTAATAATTTGCTATAAAAAGTATAATTTCACGTACAAATTATTTTCTAATTAAAATATTTTAATTTTTTTTTTATTTTATTTACGTATAAAAAATAGCATTTTAATAGCTCTAAAGTAATATAATATAAAATTTTTAAGTTTATATTTTATTTAAAAAAATATCTAGACTTTAATTTATTAATTATAATATCGAAATGTCTTCTTCTAATTAATTATTAATAGAAAATTCTTTAATATTTTCATATAATAATGTCGAAAGTTCTTAATTTTAAATTGATTTTTAAAAAATTAGAGCAGGAAATAAGTTTCCATTTTAAAATAATATTTTAAAAAATTATAAAAATTTAATTTTTTCAATAAATAGATCTTATGAAACAATCAATAAAGAAGAATTAATTTAAAAATTTTGATTTTACTAAGAAATATTATTATATTATAAACTAATATATTTTTTATTATTATTTATAATAGGAAGATCAAAAATAAAGCTATTTTTATACGTTAAATCATCAAATAGTTAAACTTTAATATTTTTAGAAAATTCAATAAGAGTATCTTCATTTTAAATTTAAAAAAAGAAAAGTGTAAAAAATTCAAAAGGGAATTTTTCTTTAGAAGTGCTTTTCATTAAATTTAAAAGGATTTTTTCATTTATACTTTTATTGGAATGAACAAAAGGCAATTAATTAAAAAAATTTTCTTTGATAAAAAAATTATCTTTGTTGTTTTTTTTTAATCAATATTTTATATTCGAAAAGCTCCAAAATAAAAATCTTCTTCAGAAATTAAATTTGATATAAAATTACATAATTCTCGATATTTATCCATTTTTTTTATTTATAAACTCAAATCGAAGTTTTCTTCAATAAGTTTTTAGAGAATTTTTCTATTCATTTTTTTCCTATTTTATCCATTTATTTTCTAAAAACCAATTAATTCGCATTTATTTTATGAAAAAAAGGCCAAATCTTCATCTATATGGAACATATTTTAATTAAAAAAAGGCCATAAAATTATAAAAATTGGGAATTTTTCCCCAAAATTATCATTATTGTTTAAAGTTAATGTCTATGGGAAATATTTATTCAATATATTTTCTTAAAAAAGGTTAATTTTATCAATATTAGATGTATTATAGATTAATTGTTTTTTTTTTTAAAGTGAATAAATGGATTATATTCACCACATTTAAATAAAAGGGCATTTTTTAAAAAAGAGAAGTTTCGACCTTTTATATATAGAACAAGAACATTATTTTTAAATAAGCTTTTTAGTTTATCTTTTTTAAATATTATATCTTCGTTTATTTAGTCTTTTATTTAAATTGCTTTTATGTTTTCAATTACAAAACCTCTTTTTTATATTTTATTTAGTATTTTGCCGTATTTTTGAGGAGTGAAATTGTTCTTTCCGCCAAGTATACAAAAATAGCTTTTAAAAGGACTATTTTGTACCTAAAATATAGGATAAAATGGCTCTGGTTTATTATAATATAGCTTTTTGGATTCAAAATCTTCTATTTTTTACACATCTTCGATCGTTTTGATTTTTTAAAGGCGTCCAGAAAAAAAATAAACCAAAAAACTATTCTCAAAAGATGTTTCGAGTATATTTTCGACGTTTTTTTCTCCTAAAATCTAACCAATTTTCCTTTTAAAATTTCCTATTTTCTCCTTCATGTTATTAGATTCTAAGGCTAACACTAATAGAGGCTAATTAACTTCAAAATGAGAATTATTGACGTGTTTTTAAAACTATTTTAGCGATTAAGAATTAAAAAAACAGGTTTTAATACCCAAAATATCAAAACCTTTATTTAATAGATAATCAAGTGAAAATTCGAATAAATTAAAGTTATTTTCTTTTTTTTTGGAAGACTCTAGAACACTAGTAAGTTCTGAAAAATGAGTACTTTATTCAAAAGATGTATTTTTTTGTAAAAAAAAGGAAGTTTTTTTTAATATAAGGACTCCTTTAGTTTAATTTAAATGTCCATTTAAAAACATATGAAAAACATTGTTTTCTGAGAAGATTTTTTTACCAATTTCCATATTTTTTATAAGTTATATTTTATATTCCTAAAGTTTTTTTTAAGGTGATATTTCTGGTTTTATTTTTTGAAGTTTTTTAATTTGTTTTTCTTATATAAAATCAGAAAATTACTTTTCAAGTTAATTTTCTAATTTTTAAGAACCTGTGCCTTGTAAAGTATCGAAAAATAAAAAAATACATCTTTTTAGTTCTTTTTATTCTTATATTTAATAAAATTTAATAGGATTTATTAAATAATTGCTTATGTATTAAGATTCTTAGTCGTCTTATATGATTTTTGTGTATGTTCCAATGAAAAAGCTTACTAGAAAAAATGGAAAACCTTTCTATTTAAATGATTTTAATGCGATTTAAGACTGATTTTCGTTAGGATGAGATTAAAGATTTAAAAGAATTTCGAAATTACTGTTTTTGAGAAAATATTCTATATATAAATTATAATATTAATATAAAAATATAAATAAAAAATATAATATATATACATATATATAAAAATAAAGAAATATATATATATATATATATATATATATATATATACAAATATTTAAATATATATTTATATTATTACTTAAAAATTATAAAGAAAATTCTATATTTTCTTCTTCAAAAGGAAATATTAATATTTAATAACGAGATGTGATTCCATCTCTTGTTAATGTATATTATTTTATATCTTTAAATTTATCTGTTATTTTTTATGGAATAGAAGATATATGTTTTAAATAAGATATTTTTTAATCAAAAAGACATTTTATTGTTGTATCTTTTGTACTATTATATTTATATTTTTTTTTATTTATATATTTTAAACAAAAATAAAAAACTGAAAGTTTATGATTTATTATTCAAAAAAATCTATTTTTTATTTAATTTATTTATTTTAAATATCTATTTTTTCTTATTTTTCTTGAATTTCTTTATTTTATTCGAATTACTTTTCTATTTCTTCTTTTTTTTTATTTTATACTTCTCTTTTTATAAAAAAATATTTTTATGAATCAGAAAAAAAAATACATAAAATCTTTCCATTTTTCTGAATTAATTTTATGTAAATCTTATTATTATTAATTTTTATTGATTTTTTTTAAAATTTGTTTTTCTCTTTCTTCATATTCTTATTTAATCTAAAGAATTTTTTATTAACTTTCAATTTTTTTCTAGTTTTCTTTTTCTAAATCATAATAAAAAATTTATTCTACTTTTTCATAATCTTCTTTTCTTTATTATTTTTATATATTATTTTAACAAAAAAATTTTTTTTATTCTTTTATGATATTAATGATATTATTTTTTTATTCTTCTATTTATATAATTTTTTATTTTTTATTTCTATCTTTTTATTTCTATATATATTAATCTATATCTTCTTCTTTACTAAAGCCTAACCTTTTTGCCTCTATATAATAATTATCTATTTAATCATCTTCATTGTCGTAATCACTTTAACTTTCGTCTTCATATTAATGTTTTTACATTAAAAAAGAAGATTTAAATAGATTCTTAAATATTTTAAAATATATATATATATATATATATATATATATATATATATATATATATATATATATATATATATATATATATATATATATTCTAATACTTATTTTATATATTTACATTATTTTGATTAAAATTTTTTATTTCTTTTTATATTATATTATTCATTTCTGGTTATCTTATTTAACTTTTATAATAATTAAAAATTATTTTATTTTTTTTATAATAATATATACTTTATTTTTTAAGTTGTTGTTTTTTCTTTATTTTATTCAAATTATATTAACATGTCTAAATATTTTGATATTTATTATCCATTTTTATTAATTTAATCATACATATTTATTAATTTAAAGAGATTTTTTTTTTTTAATTATTAATCTCAGTTTATATTAAATTTTAAAATTAATTATATTTTTTAAAATTATAAAATAAATAAATTTTTTTAAATTAAAAAAATTTTATAAATAAAATAAATATAAGCTTGTTTTTTTGATTTAATTTTTATTTTTAAATAAAATTTTTCTATAATATAATTATATATATTTTACTTTATATAATATCAATTTAATTGTGACAATATTTATATTAAATTATTTATATTATAAGATTATATATTATTTAGTTTATTTTTTTTTAATAATTATAAAATAAATAAAAAATATAAATAATATGGATTAAGATATTCTTGTTAAAAAATAGTGGTTTATTAAATCAATGAATGGAAAAATTGATGACTATTATGATATGAAAAATAAAAAAGTAAAAAAAAAAAATATGTCTTTATTTTATTTTTTATAAAATTATCTTAAAAAAGTAATTAGGCTCTGGATAATTTGGAAGTGTAATAGAAGTAAACCAAAAGGGATCAGATTTAAGAAGAGCTGTAAAAATAATAAAAAAAAGTTCTATTGAAAATTAATAAATGTTTTAGAACGAAATAAATATAATGAGAGAACTTGTAAAAAAAATATAAATCAAAATAAAATCAAAATAAACATAAAGGATCATCCAAACATAATAAGATTATATGAAATATATGAAGATTAAAGAAAAATATATTTAGTTATGGAGTAAAAATAAATATATATATATATATATATATATATTTATATATATTTAATTTTATATTTAATCTTTTAGATTATGTTAAGGAGGTGAGTTGTTCGATTTAATTACTACTCGCTAGAAGTTTACTGAATAAGAAGCTCGTATAATTTTTAAATAAGTTGCTTTAGCATTATCATATTGCCATTCTCATGGGATATGTCATAGAGATTTAAAACCTGAAAATCTGCTTTTATATATAAAAGATGATATTACATCTATAAAGGTAGCAGATTTTGGTCTTTCTTGTATATTTAAAAGTAAAAATTAACAAGAGAAAAAATAACTTTAAGGTAGAGCTGGTAGCGCTTATTATATGTCTCCTGAAGTTTTAAGTGGATAATATAATGAATTATGCGATTCGTGGTCTTTAGGAGTTATTTTATATATTCTTTTATCTGGTATACCACCTTTTTATGGAAATACAGATTAGAAAATATTTGAAAGAATATAAAAAAAATAATATTCATTTTAATGTATTTTCTATAAAATATAATTTATATGCAAATATATATTAAAATGATTTATATATAAAGTTAAATAATTCGATAATGTAAGTAAAGAAGTTATAGATCTAATAAATTAATGTTTTTAAGATTAAAATTAAAGGCCTTCAGTTAAATAAATACTAGATCATTCCTGGATTAATAAAGATTTAGAAAACTTAAAAGATTTTAATTTAAATTAATTCAAGATATTTGCTGGAACTACCAAATTGAAAAAAATCGCACTTAATTTCATTGCTAGTAGACTTTCTGAATCTGAAATTAAAGATTTGGGTAATTTATTTAAATAGTTGGACAAAAATAATGATGGTGTTTTGAGTGTTAGTGAAATTTCAAATGCTATAAAAATTTTTTCTGGTAAATAAGAATAGATTACTGACTTATTAAAGTAAATTGATACAGATTAAAATGGAACTATTGAATATACAGGTTATTTTTAATGTTTATTTATTTGTTAATTTTTTATTTTTTTTTCAATTAGAATTTGTTGCTGCCTCAATACAAAGATAACTTTTTTTGAAATAAGAAAAATTGTATTATGCTTTTTAAGCTTTAGATATTGATGGAAGTGGTTCTATTTCTAAATAAGAATTATAAAAAATACTAAATGAAGAGGGAAATTCTTTAAATTATACAGAAGATTATTGGACATAACTTATTGATGGAGCAGATAAGGATAAAAATGGAGAAGTAAATACAAATATATATATATATATATAAATAATATAAATATATATATATATATATATATATATATATATTTATATTTAATAAAAAAAAATATTTATAGATTGATTATAATGAATTTGTTGAAATGATGGGCGAAATATATATTTGAAATAAAAATATATATTTATTTTTTTAATAAAAAATTAAAAACTATTTTTTTTTTTATTTTTTGCACTATTTCTTTAAAATATATAAAAAATAAACTAATTTATATATTTAATTTCTAATCTAAAAAAAATTATATTAATATAAAAAAAAATAACAGTTATATAAAATATATGGCTTGTTCATAAAAATATTTCTAACCAAGATTAGAGGCTAAAGTTATACATTATCTTAGTAATGGATCTGGTATTTTTATAGAAATAATAATAATTTTTATTAATATAACATTTAATTAAATAATTAAAAGGAAGAGATAGTTATATTTCAAGAACTAATGGAGGTATATTTAAAGGTCGTCCAGATGATCCTAAAGGATTTGAAATAGGTAATTTAATAGTATTTATTTATTTAAATATTAATAAAAATAAAGGAACATTTGGGGAAAGAAGATTATATAAAACAATAAATAATAATTTACCTGCAAAACATATTCATTATCATAATGATGGTACAGGGAGGGATAATTATGTAAAGTAAATATAATTTTTATACAAAACAAATAAATATTTATTTTTAAAAATAAATAAATATAAAGAATAGATGAAGGTGGTTTAAGTGGCTTCAGTTGGAATAGATAAAATTATATTAAAAGTTTAAGAGATTATAATAGAATCAGATTTGCAGGAGAAAATGATTTTTTTTCGAAAACTTAATTTACAAGACCAAATTCGGGTGTATAAAATAATAAAATAATAAAAAATAAATAAATGAAAACAACTTTTAGACTTTCTTAACCGAAAATTAAAGAAGATCCGTATGCATAAATTAGATAAAAAAGTATTATTCTAGGTTTAAGAAGAATTTATGGATGATAAATATTTTATATTTAGAATAAATAAAAATTGGATATTATTTATATAATAATAAATAATATTTTATTAATCATTTTTTTTGTTTTTTATTTTAATTGATTTTTTTTTTTTTTAAAAAAAAAAAAAATATATATAGTTTATAGATAAATATAAAATACATATTTTTTAAATACTTTAAATAATATTAAAATTCAGTTAAATTTATAACATTTCAATTAATTTTTTTTAAATCTATTTTTTATTTTTTTATCATTTTTAAATGAAAATTTCTGTCTATTATTTTTGTTAATTATTTTCTTAGTTATTTATATTTTTGTTTTATTATAAACAATCATTTTTCTTTAAATAAACAATTTAAACAAATTATTTATTTGTATTATTATTTCTATAATTATTATTATTATTATT